ATTGATATTATATTAATATATACTTCATAAGATCATGAATTTCTTCGAAGTCGTGGCATTCTTGAAATCTCATGAGCCAGTTCTGGCGTAAATCAAAGTGGTTGCTGCGATGGTCAGCTGTTAAATCTGGATGGATCAGAACGCCACGCGCTTGGAGAATTTCCTGTTTTTCAACATGGAATTACCAAGGGCAACCACATGTCGGACATGTCTCCGCAGAAAATCTCGTTTGATTTCTCCGATTTCCAGGTGGTGCCATGGCGCCGAGCTTCGAAAAAAGCCAGTGCATCAGTTGCACGCTCGTGGCCAAAATTGGCCACACAATTTTGGGCTGACCGACCGCTGATGAAGATTGGCACCGGAATTTCAGCCACAAAGTGACGTAAATCTATGTGACCTGGGTTGAAGAACCCCTGTCAGTTTTACGTTATATGTTATATGCTAATAAAAGAAGGGGAGTTAAGCAACACAAAATGCAGGTTTCACATGGTTTGACCATGTTTAACCGAAGTCAGCAAGATGTAGTTGGCGGTTTCCAGTATCTTTTTGATGTTCAAACATAGGAAATGATAAGAATGGGATTATGGTTTTGAATGAGGAACATATGTTTGGGTTGACATCACCAAACAGTTGATAAAATAAGTGCAAACACACCCGGGCGAGGCTCTTTTTAATGTGGAACATGATCTTGAAATGGGACAAGAACAAACGCCCTCTGTACGCGACACTGTACTCTGGGAAGAAATCAACCCTAAAACCAACCGCTTCAGCCTCATCGGAACTCTGGCCAGTGATGCGTATGCCTCTGCAATCTGAAAGCGTAGGAAGTGCTTGGATTTTTCAAAGACAGTCCATTGAAACAGCCTGAAACAGCCATATTCCGATGATTCAGACTCGGCACAGGCGTCGATCTCTTAAACTTGGAACGTTTCCTGAGATCCTGTGGAAAAGCCCCCCCTTGGCCGTGGATGACTCAGCAATAGCTGGATTGATCATCCATCCATAGGGGTTCACTGGATCGGAAACTTTCGAAAGCTGGTCTGGTTGATGCCCAAAAAACATCCGTTGACCATTTTTTGTTTTTGGCGTCAGATCTCATGACCAGCCATTGTCCTTGCGTTGTGGCGCAGCACCCAGACCTGCAATGGCTCGTGGCCTTTTGGCCATGACACAATTTTGGGCTGACCGACCGCTGATGAAGATTGGCACCGGAATTTCAGCCACAAAGTGACGTAAATTTATGTGACGTGGGTTGAAGAACCCCTGTCAGTTTTACGTTATATGTTATATGTTATTTGTTATATGTTATATGTTATATGTTAATAAAAGAAGGGGAGTTAAGCAACACAAAATGCAGGTTTCACATGGTTTGACCATGTTTAACCGAAGTCAGCAAGATGTAGTTGGCGGTTTCCAGTATCTTTTTGATGTTCAAACATAGGAAATGATAAGAATGGGATTATGGTTTTGAATGAGGAACATATGTTTGGGTTGACATCACCAAACAGTTGATAAAATAAGTGTAAACACACCCGGGCGAGGCTCTTTTTAATGTGGAACATGATCTTGAAATGGGACAAGAACGCACGCCCTCTGTACGCGACGCTGTACTCTGGGAAGAAATCAACCCTAAAACCAACCGCTTCAGCCTCATCGGAACTCTGGCCAGTGATGCGTATGCCTCTGAAATCTGAAAGCGTAGGAAGTGCTTGGATTTTTCAAAGACAGTCCATTGAAACAGCCTGAAACAGCCGTATTCCGATGATTCAGACTCGGCACAGGCGTCGATCTCTTAAACTTGGAACGTTTCCTGAGATCCTGTGGAAAAGCCCCCCTTGGCCGTGGATGACTCAGCAATAGCTGGATTGATCATCCATCCATAGGGGTTCACTGGATCGGAAACTTTCGAAAGCTGGTCTGGTTGATGCCCAAAAAACATCCGTTGACCATTTTTTGTTTTTGGCGTCAGATCTCATGACCAGCCATTGTCCTTGCGTTGTGGCGCAGCACCCAGACCTGCAATGGCTCGTGGCCTTTTGGCCATGACACAATTTTGGGCTGACCGACCGCTGATGAAGATTGGCATTGGCACCGGAATTTCAGCCACAAACTGATGTAAATTGTGTGACGTCGGTTGAAGAAGCCCTGTCATTTTGTTCTGCCATAGCGTGCTGAATCGGGCAAAGGCGCGTCAAACACCACGCAGCCTGGCATTGTCGACCATGGTGCATGTACCCGAAGGGGTCTGCCATGGTTTCTGAGGCAGTTACTGCCGCAGTTGAAAACTGGATTTCTGGGTTTCCTACTAATATAAACTAATTTACGTGTATGATTCCCATCTTTGACAAGAAAGCGATTTAGAACATTTTAGAACCACAGTAGTGAATCCACAGCATGCCGGTGCACCATGACAAACCTGCGCAAATGCGAACATTATGCGAACGATATTGCTATGGATCCAGATAGGCAGATTTCATCATGTTTCAAGCAGAATTACCCAACTCTGTGGGGTCCATGGTGCAGATTTTCCAACCCTATTTTTGACTCACTGATAATATAATTAGGTGTGTCTGAAAACGGGATATATCCCCAGCTAGCTCGCTATTTACTAGGGAAAATTCGATGACCCATGGGATCGAGGTTTCCTAAAATGGGGGTACCCCTAAATCATCCAATACCCACATTTATGGAAACCTCCATATCATCCCATATCATTGACCCTCATTTTCGAGGAATCATTGGAAGGTACCAACCACAATTAGCAGAGTGGTTGGCGGAGTATCCCCGGATCCTTAACTACAAGGGTTGTAAAACCATGTTAAATCCCTCAAATCTTTATATGTTTGACGGTACATTCCACAGGGGTCAACAGCAATTCGAACTTGACATTTGACATTTTCCCAACGGAATTGATGATGTCAGATGGCTCCTTTTTCTACTTTATGCAGATGTGAAACGATTTAGACCTATGTCATGTATCGACACGTGATTTAGATACATCATGTTATGTGATGTTACGTGATTAATTCAAAATGTTGTATGTACATACTATACATTCAATTCATGTACATGTAGACACGTAGAAATCCATTATTCATCCAACGGTGCTTTGGGGCGTTGTGTGTGAGAACCACCCACGGCCACCTGGCGCGGCCACCTGGGTTTTGTCTTTGAACCACCGCGTTTTGCTCATGTTGGTCACATGATAACTGCTTGATTTCTCTAGAAAACGTGAAATATGGTGATTTCACATACTTAAATAGTCTAAACTAGTCATAGTTTGATCAGTTTGATCTACTATGATCTACGAAAATCAATGGATTGGTTTAAGGGAAAATCCACAGGACAGCCCCATATTTCATGGGAAAATAACTCTGGTTTCCTGTAAATTTTCCCTTAAACCAATCCAATCAGAACTGCATATTTCGTTTTCTTGGTCACCTGGCTCAAGCCGTTGGCGTGGCACGTGTGGCACGTGTGGCACGTGGTGTGCAGCCGCAGCGGTGAAATCACCATGCCTCAGGACCCTTGAGGTTCCGTGGCCCAAGGGGGCCAGGGATTGACTGGGTTATATCTATATATCTATATACACAATATATATATATATTATAAGTATATATACACACATATTTGGGGTTGATATACGCGTTTTTGGAGCGTTAGGCTTTGCCGGGCTACTCCTGTGTTTGTTTTTTTCTCAATGTTTCTTTGTTGGTATTATACTTTTCTTTTCTATATCTATATCTATATACATCTAAATCTATATATATATATATATCTATTTATATATACATATCTATATCTATATATATATATATATCTATGTCTATATCTATATCTATATCTATGTATCTATCTATATATTTATATCTACATCTATACCTATATCTATATCTATATCTATGTCTATCTATATCTAGATATATCTATATCTATATCTATATCTCTATCTATGTCTATATATATCTATATCGATATCGATATCGATATCTATATCTATATCTATCTATATCTATATCTATATCTATGTACATATATATATATCTATATCTATATATATATATCTATATCTATATCTATATCTATGTATATATACATATATCTATATATCTATCTATATATCTATCTATATATATATATCTATATCTATGTATATATATATATCTATATCTATATATCTATATATCTATATATCTATATATCTATATATCTATATATCTATATATCTATATATCTATATATCTATATATCTATATCTCTCTCTCTATATATATTATAAGTGTATATATATATATATCTATATCTATATCTACATCTATATCTATATCTATCTATATCTATATCTCTATATATATATATATCTATATGTATGTATATATATAGCTATATCTATATATCTATATCTGTATCTCTCTCTCTCTATATATATATTATAAGTATATATACACACATATTGGGGTTGATATATGCGTTTTTGGAGCGTTAGGCCCACTGCTCCTCCATTCGTTTGACATTGTTCAGGTATTTGCTTGAGATTCATCCATGTTTGAAATTGTTTGGCAGCAGTTGCAGCAACAGTTTTCAAGCGAGGTTTTCCATCTGACAACCCATGTAGCAAACTTTGAAGAGATAGAAGAGTACAATGCGGCTAAAATGATGATGACTTACCTTTTTTTTGTATACCACATGGGAGATGGGTAGGAAAAGCGGCACAATCGGTGGGTCGGAAAATTTATTGCATGATCATCCAGGATGTGTCGAATTGGTTGAAGGGAACGACTGAAACCAGAAATTTCCATATTTGGGATATGTTCCCTTCAACCAGTCCGTTTCTATATCAAATTTAGGACATACCAGATGGTTGCCATACTTTTAGAACAGGCCAATTTTGTTTTTGAGTCGGTTGGATTGCTGGGATTGGTTCAAACATATTAGAACATACTATGGTTTCTTATTGATTTTCCCTTGAACCAATCATCCAAGACGGGAATTTTTACCAAATGCAATGCAGATTGACGGACATCAAGGGCGCCATCGAGAGCAAACGTGGCGATGGAACATTCCCCATGGATTGTTTCTTCAAATGGATTCACCCAAAAATTGGATGGTTTGGAATTAAACATTGATTTTTGGAAAAAAAAAGGGACCCCATTCTAAGAAAGTACACTGCCCAATTTGTAGATGGTTTGCAACTCAGAAAGTGATACGAAAAGTCTTGACAACATAATTGGTACACATTTGTTGTGGGACCCCCAATCCATTGTTTTTTTTTTGATGTTTGGTTTCACAGTTGCAATGCCATTACAATACCCCCTGATAGTCCCAGTATAACCCATGGTTTGTATATTTGGAAGTGGTAATTTTCAAGTCCATGCATGTTCATTCACCTTAGTTGCCAACGTGATACAGGAAAGGCCCTCCAAACCATAAATTGGTTTGTAATTAGGCTACTGTAGCTAGGATTTATTGAGATTTACGGCTGTCATACCTGTCCGTAATCATACGCCGTTTGCTGGAACATCCACGATTTACACATGATTTTCCTAGCTATAAACCTACATTTTATGCCATTTTGCATATTTAGTTGGATGTGTTTATGAACCCAAAACTGCCATAAACTGGTCCCCTTTTACCATCGGATTCCGGATGGGATGTTTCCGGAGCCGAGGCTATCTGGTAAGGAACCTTCAGTACCTTGGGCTCAGAATGGGCTCGGATTTGGCCAGGGGGATGTATCAATGTTGGAAAGCCAATGATAAACCCATTCAATTTCATGGAGTTTCCGTTAAATTTCATGATAAACCCAATGATAAACCCAATGATAAACCCAATGATTCCCAAGTCATCACCATGAAATTTCATGGATGCGATTGAAAGATATTGAAACCATCCCCGGTCATGGTAGGTTTTGGGCATTGTTTTTGTTTGCACACTCGTGGTTCTTGTTGGTGGTTCATAACTTCTTAATGATTGTTGTTGGTGTGTCAGGAAACAGACCCTATTCCAGTCACCACCTGCCATGTATAGGCTAGCATGTTGTACATGAGAATTCATTTAAGACTTATGGCCATGACTTTGGCTCAAGCATCAGCGTGATAGGAAAACAAGCTGCTTGCTGCATCTTGGGGCTGTGCGCCCCGCTTTCATGGTAGCGGAGCCTTCGGGCTTAGCACTCTGCGGTTAGACCCGCGGGTGCTGCTGGCTGCGGATTGCCCCGCGCCAGCAGTTGGTTGCGGGTCAGCCCCGCACCAACAAGTGGCTGCGGGCTAGCCCCGCGCCACAGCCAGTTGCGGGCAGACCCGCACTGGCAAGACGGCTCCTAAGAAGAAGCCGAACAAGCGTGGGAAGCGCTCGGCAGAGCGCACTGAGGCCCGGCAACAAAGGGGCCAAGAAAGAAGGAGGCTCGCCCAACAGGAGCGGGTCGAGACGAGTTATCCCGAACTGGTAGGGGGAGCCAGTTCATCTCGGGAAGCCCCCACTAGGACGGTTGTCGTAGAGGACACAACCGGCCCGAAGCCAAGAGTAAGAAGGACTCCCAGAAAGAGGGTCAGAGAAGAAGGGGGTGTACGAGTGAAACGCCTGGGTGTCACCCTCATCAACCTAAGGGAGCGGGAAGCACCGCCCCTTAGACTCAGGTCAGTTGCAAGGGCCGGGACAGGTGCCAAACTCAGGTCAGCTCCAAGACAGGAACAACATAGAAGGCAGGTTCGTGAGAACTACGCCGAGGGTGCCAAGGCGATCCAAGCAGCAAGAGGAGTCTGGCATCAAAGGAGGTTTGCCCAACGAGTTCAGCTGACAAGGAGCATTCGAGCTCTTACACCAAGAGGCACCGTCGGAGAACAGGTGCGCAGGCAACTTTCTGAGGAGTGCTCGAGTTGTGACGAGCGTACCAAGAAGAACAGACCAGAAGCTGCAAAGTTTGCCAACAAAAGGCTCAAGAGGTTGACCTTTGTCCCTGTCAAGCCTGAGTTGACACCGCTATTGCAGAAGTACCACGTTCCAACGACCAAGAAAGCTAAGAAGAAGGTGGTTGAAGAGGACGACGAGCCGGACACCACCAACCCTGTGAATAAGAAGAAAGATGGACCCCCAGATCAATCAGATGGAGATGGGGACAGCCCAGATTGGGGAGCAGATGACAGCTGTGCTGCAGCAGTTGCAGCAAACTAACAATCTGGTTGGGCAGATGGCCCAAAGAATCACCTCTCAGGAGGAGCAGATCCTGAGAATGCAAGCTGAGAGGGCACGTGCAATCTCCATCAACACAGTTGAGGAGGTGCCCAGGAATTCTAGCGCAAACGCCGCTAGTTCCTCAGGTTTTGGAATTGTGGACACCAGAACCTTGGGGAAACCAGAAGTATTCAAAGGGGATGCAACAGAGTTCCCCGATTGGTGTTTCATCTTCAGGTCATACATGTCTTGCATCAACGTTGCATACAATGACCTGATGGACCGGGCTGAGAGAAGCCAAACGCCATTGCCCAACAGAGCGCTCTCAGAAACAGAGAGGACACTCTCAGGCCAGCTGTACTTCGTGCTGGTCATGCTGCTGAGGAACCGGGCATTGGACATAGCCTACAACGCTGGAGTGTCAGAGGGCATTGAGGCCTACAGGAGACTCTACCAGCAGTATCACCCCAAGGTGGCGTCAAGGTTCGTGGGGAGTTTGTCCTCATCTTGGCCACTAAGTTTGGCACAGACATCGAGGCCGAACTCGAGAGCTTCGACAAAACAGTGCGCCGGTACGAGATGGAGTCGGGGAAAACCTTAGATGAAGAAATACTTTTGGGTATAGTAATTCAAGGGGTTCAGGACCAATCAATGAAAGAACATCTCATCAAGAATGCCGCGCGTCTCAATACGTATGAAGCTGTCAAGACTGAATTGTTGGAGATAGCTAGGACTAACCGTGTCCTGCAGTCCATGCCGGTTGCAATGGAAATTGGTGCAACCCCCAACGCCAAAGGAAAAGGAGGTAAGAAAGGTAGTAAAAAGGGTGATGGAAAGAATTCCAAAGGTGACTCCAAAGGCAAGGGTAAAGGTACCCAACAAGCCCCACAAAATCCAAACAAGGACAAATCCTGTTTCTACTGTGGTAAGCAGGGGCATCTCAAATCAGAATGCAGAAAACGTAGCAGTGATGAAAAGAATGCCCAAGGTAAAGGTAGCAGTAAGGGTAAGCCAAAGGCCAAGGCTAACCCCGGGAGCGGTAAGCCCCGCCCCAATGCTGCAAGTCCTGATGATGAACCAGAACCACTCAGCGCCTACCCTGAGGAGACGCTCATTGCAGCTGCCGTCAACAATGGCACGCAGGAGATTTTGGTGGACACCGGGGCTGGAAGTCACTTGTTTGTAAAAGGGTTTGATAGCCATGCACGTTCAGTTTCAAAAGGGTCAAACGTTGGTATGGTTACGGTTACTGGTCAACCCTTAACCACTGGGGAGTACAAGAAAAGCACCATAAACACAGATGCTGGGAAATTCACGATCGAATACGCAGAGTCTGACAAGATCAACTTCTCAGTGCTCAGTGCTGGCAAGGCGGCACAAAGGGGCACGTGGACTGTGATTGGTCCAGACGCTCAGTTTCTTGTCCCCAGCAAGTCCAGTGAATTCATCAAAGCAGCAATTGAGAAGACCCCCAACAAACTTGGGTTGGTAAAGAAAAGGGGCGTTTATTGGTTGCCGGTTTCACTTGAAAAGGGTTCAACTGGTCATGATGACAAGCCCTTAGCAACCATGGTAGATAAAAGCCCTGGAGGGGTAGCGGGTAATGCCGCATCCCAAAGTGCGGGTAGCACCGCCAGCTGTGTGGGAAGCCCCACCGGCCAGGACGTGATGGCAGCCATCAGACCTGCCAAGAAAGCTGTTCCAGCGGAAGCGTTGGAGGAAGAGGCGCGAGAACCGGGTGCAGTTGGGGAAATGGAAGTAGAGGACCCCCAACAAGTTGAACCCCCTCTCCCTGAACTTGGGGAACCGCCTGCTGAACCATCTGAACCAGCAAGGCCAGTAAGAGCCAAGAAAATCCCAGATACGGTCACCAAAGCCGAGTATGACAACCACATGATTACACACCTTCCTTTTAGAAATTGGTGTGAGTTTTGTATGGCTGGAAAAATTCGTGAGGATAGTCACCGTAGAAGAACTCCAGGAGACGACAAGGAAGTCCCCAGAGTTTCAATGGACTATTGCTTTTTGGGCAGAGTTCTTGACAACACCAAGTCTGAAGAGACAACGGTGGCTGAGTTGAAAGAGCCAACAGAAGAAGCAGAAGGAGTCATGCCCGTTTTGGTAGTCACTGACGAAAGAACAGGCTGCGTTTTCAGCAGCGTTGTGCAAAAGGGAGTGAATGATCACGCCGTCAATGTGGTAGTAGAAGCTTTGAAGTTTTGTGGTAGACAGAAAGCCATCCTGCAAACAGATGCCGAACACAGCATCAAAGCACTTGCAGAGGCATCAGCCGTGAAGTATGGCAAAGAGGTGCAACACCAAACTGCGCCACATGAATCTCACGCGTCCAATGGGGCCGCTGAAAGGGCGGTACTGGAGCTCTCGCGACAGGTGCGCACAAACGTGAACGCACTTGAATCAAGGTACAAGGACTTCAAGCTGAAAGTTTCCAGTGTTTCATACCCGTGGCTTGTACGCCATTCAGCATGGCAATTGACCAGATTCCTGGTGAAGGCAGATGGGAAAACCCCATATGAACGACTCAAAGGTCGCGAATACAAAGGTGAAGTTGTAGAGCCATTTGAAACTGTGCACTACAAACTTGCGCAAGACGCCAAAGGCAAGCTGGACGCTCAGAGCGCCATTGGCATTTGGGTTGGAAAATCCCTGCAATCCGACGAACACTATGTCGGAACAGCAGACGGCATCCGTCGCTGCAGAAGTGCATGGCGCAGGCCAGAAGGGCGACGATGGGAGCTGAAAAGATTCGAGGCTCTCAAGGGCGTTCCGTGGCAACCCAAAGGCGAGCCAACCTTGATGCCAGGAGCCCCAGGCACACCAAGGATTGCAGCGCCAGGAACACCAAGCGGACGCGCCCGAGGAGTGTACATCACAGTGGAACGGCAGATTCGCCATGGATCCACAGAAGGATGCCCAGGCTGTCACAGCTCAGACGACAACCCAAAGCCACACAATGCAACATGCCGAGCAAGATTCGAAAAGATCATCGCCGAAGAGCGAGCGAAGGCACAACAAGGCGAAGGAAGTGCCAGCACGCAAGTTGAAGACTTGGAAGCGCCAGTGACCGACAATTCCTCGTCATTGTATCGCGACAAGCGAGAGGCAGCGGGAACCGCCGCGCCTCAGGGAGTTGCGGGAGACTCCGCACTCTCAATCGCACCAAGGATCGCGGGAAGACCCGCATCCTCAGCTGATCCTGCGGGAAGCACCGCGGCTTCAGCAAGTGCCAAAAGACCCACAGAGGGCACACAAGAAGCCCAAAAGAGGCTGAAGGCACCAGATCCAAAGGGAAGCAAACGAAACCCTGAGGTCAGTGTCCAAGAGCTGCAAGACGCAGAAGACATCTCAACATTGCTGCTACAGCAAGACGAAAGCACGCATGCAGAAGAGAAAGGCACTTTGCCTACACTCCATGACGTGCCACTCGCAGCAATTTTTGAGGATTCCCTCCTCGTCGGATACCCAGAGTGGGGAAATGTGACATCAGCTTTCGACGAAAGATCAGGCGAAGCGCTGCCTCTTGAAAAGGTCAAGACCGCTAGGGGCAGAGAGCTAGACAAGATGATCGAGCACAATGTCAAAACTGACATTACGTGGGAGGAGGCCAGACGACGTGGATTGAAGATAGTCCGTAGTCGCTGGGTCGACGGATGGAAAACCATCGACGGAGATCCAAGAGGTGTGAGGTCCAGATGTGTAGCCCAAGAGGTGAACACAAGTCCTAGAGAGGACGTACACTCTGGAACCCCACCGCTGAAAGCTCACAGGATGATTTTGTCCTGTGCGGCAACCAAACGCAAAGGACAACATCAGCACGACAAGCTGATCGGACGTTACGACGTCAGTGTGGCATTCTTCCATGCCACATCCACCGGCAAAATCGCCGTGGTACCGCCGGATGATCTCAACGATCAAAGACACCTATGGTATCTCAACAAGGCAATGAATGGAACTCGCGAAGCGAGTCGCCAATGGTCCGAGTTTGTAGACGGAACTGTGACCAGGAAAGGCGGATTCAGCAATGTGCCAGGAGTCCCCGGAGTGTTTTATCACAAGGAGTGGCAAGTCACAATGAGTTGTCATGGGGACGACTTTCTGGCCGAAGGCCGAGCGGAAGATCTCGACAAATTGGATGAGTTCATGCTGCAACATTTTGAAATCAAAGTGTTGCCGCGAATCGGCAATCCTGAGCACGGAGGTCAGTGCCTGGAAGGAGACCATCTGCGCAGAGCAATCAGGTGGACAAAAGAAGGGTTCACTTGGGAAGCAGATCGCAAATACGTCAAGCTTTTGACAAAAGAGCTTGGGCTGGAAGGAGCAAAAGGAGTTGACACTCCGAGCTCAAAACTGACAGGTGCTGGCTGCAGAACCAGCGACAAGCCGCTAGACGCAGCGGAAGCCTCAAGATTCAGACATCTTGCAGGGACAGCTCTTTACTTGAGCTTGGGTAGACCTTCTATCCAGTACGCGTTGTCAGAAATCACTGCCGGAATGGCAAAGCCGTGTGAAATCCACATGTTGCGACTCAAAAGACTTGGTCGCTACTTGTTGAAGTTTCCGACGGAGACTTGGCTTTTCGCCTTACAAGAAGAACCTGAAGAGTTCCAGGTTTACACAGATTCTGATTGGGCATCAGATGCAGTCACGCGCAGATCAATGTCCTGCCACATGGAGCGATTTGGTGAGCATCTGCTAGACAGTGGATGCGCCAAACAGTCAACAGTTGCACTTTCGTCGGGAGAAGCAGAGTACTACTCCTTGACAAGAGGAGCTGCAATCGGACTGCTGACCAAGCACATCTTACAATGTGTAGGGTTCAATCGAGTCAAACAGGTCATGCTGACCGACTCGACAGCAGCGAAAGGCATCGCCCAACGTTCGGGCACAGGAAAGGTCAAACACCTTAGCATCCGTGAGTTATGGTTGCAAGAGAAAGTCCGTGCAAGAGAACTAGCTGTGCGGAAAGAAAGCACAACAACGAACTGGGCTGATTTGGGCACGAAGTCTCTAACAGGCCCAAGAATCAGCGAACTGGTTCAAATTATGCCACTCTGCAGGAGAGGCATTGTTGTAGCATGCCTGCTGTGTATGATGAACTGCGCAGCAGCACAGCCAGAGGATGAAGAGAAGGACTCAAGCATCTTTAGCTTTGTGCTCTATATGTTTGTGGTTCACATCCTTGCACTATACGGGCTGTTTTCAGCCGTGAGAAGAAGGTTCATGAGAGAAGAAGTCTGCGAGAAGATGATTCAAACAGATGAGATCAGGGCAGACAACAGAACTACGCAGACATCCACTGCGCAGAGCACCGCAAGTTCTTCAACATCCATGCCAGTATCAGGGCATGGAGGGGAACAAAGACAGAATCCAAAAGCAAAGCCAAAACCAAAAGCCGAAGCGAGAGAACCACAAGATGACCTAGTGGCTATACTTGGAGGCGGTGTACGGTATCATCGCATGAGCTGCGGAATGGTGAGAGCTTTCCGTGGTAATGTACAGAACTGCCGCAGGTCACTAGCTGTTGAACGTGGCTACACGCCATGTAAACAGTGTGGTGGTTGAAGTGTTTCACTGAAAGTCAGCCAAATCACTACGTGATTCAGCTGTGGAGGGGTGTCAGGAAACAGACCCTATTCCAGTCACCACCTGCCATGTATAGGCTAGCATGTTGTACATGAGAATTCATTTAAGACTTATGGCCATGACTTTGGCTCAAGCATCAGCGTGATAGGAAAACAAGCTGCTTGCTGCATCTTGGGGCTGTGCGCCCCGCTTTCATGGTGACTTCATACAACTTCACAGGTTTAAATCACACACTCTGGTAAACTAACATAGCTATGGAAAGATCCACCCATTTTTAATGGGACAACTCACTATTTCTATGGCCATCTATACCATAGCTATGTAACAAATTACCAGAGGGTATCCCCATATTTTCCTCGTCGCATCCCCCCAAAAAGATGGATGGTAACGGAACCGACCGCCACGAAACTTCCACCAAGGTGAGCGTCCAATGCTTGATGCAGGAGCCATGAGTTGGGGAAGCTGACGATGGAAGTTGGGAGGTCAAAGTAAATCAGACCACAGATATCCACAGATTGACTAGTCTAGTACTGTAGTAAGCATCTAAGAAACCCAAAAAGTATGAGGGGTACCCAAGTTTTTTCGTGCACAATCTTCACCCTTGGGGGTGTCCTTTGATGAATCCCACCAGATTCCGAGCTCTTCAACCAGCAGGGTCGGAACCAGTGATGGATTTCCAGTGAAATAACCTCCATTTCTGCAGGTTTCTGCACCAATTTCTGTTGTTGATTTCTTTACGCCTCCTTGGTTGAAGGGAACACATGCTGGTTGAACCGCTTTATATGGGTAAACATTCTGCGTTTCTTTTCGCTTTCCCAGAGACTATATAATCCATCTCATATTTTTTTGATTTCTTCTCAGACCTGATCAGCACCAACCTCTTGACCGTTCTCCAAAATTGGAGTTTTGAAATCAACATTCAACGATCATTCAACCACTAAAAAGTCATTTCAATCCAAAAAAGGGCGTCATCAAGACATCAAAAAACCATCAAAAAACCATCACAAAACCATCAAAAACCATCAAAAAACATCCGTAAAAAAACATTATTATTTCAACCGTTTCAACCATCATACCATCAAACATCATTTTGTGTTGCACATTATCCATTCAACATCATTAGCAACCGCTACACAAGCATCGTCAAAACCATGGAACAAATCATCATCAAACCACTTAGTCTCTGGTAATTTGTTACATAGATACTGGAAAGCCATCAATTTTGGTAAATCATCGAACTAAACGAGCCATCTATACCATAGCTCTGTTAAATTACCAGATGGTAAATCTTATTTGTATCACCATGTTTGTTGGTGAAATCTCTATTCATCATCGTAAATTCCATTATCAAATCCAAACCACTCTTCGCAAATCAACATAGAATCGCATGACACAATGAACAATCTCATTAAATCGTCATTAATTCACCATCAAATCACAATGAACAAATCATTAAATCACCATAAAATCACCATGAAATCAGCATCAAACACATCTCTTAGCTACCCAATTTTCCCCTTGGTCAATCGCCAGGACTGGTGCTGTACCTAGGTTTGGTGGTGCTCTTCGTGTGGCGCTTTCTGTCGGGATGGCGGCTCTGTGGGGCGTGGATGGAGTATGCCAACTATTGCATGTACCTTGGCCGGTCGATGAACACAATGTTTTGCCCCCCCCCAGTGTTGTGAACGTTGGTTGATAAACCCCATGAAGACTATAGTTATAGGCTATAGGTATAATAAACCATAGTTATTGGACTTATAAACCAACTTAGCTATCGTTTGGGGGCCCCACATTGCAGGAATAGCTGAGGAAGAGCAGTAAAACGGAATGGGAGAATGGATGATAATGGATGGTGATGAACCATAGTCGAAAGTTGGAGTCTCCCATGAAAGTGGAGCTTCATGTACCCATAATCAATCCTAATCATGGTGGTATGACCATGGCACACATGTGTTTGCCACCGGAGTTTTTTTTTTTATGCAACAAAAGAAGTTGTGTTGAAGCAGGCAACAGCTGCATAACTATGTTGCATAATTCTTTTCTGTATCATTCGTTGGCCAAAAATTGGTTCATTGGATGATCTACATTGGATGTCCATCATTGGGATGATCATGTTGGGAAAATCAGCTGCTTCGCAGATCTCGATGGCGGTTCATTTCCAGGATGCTTAAGATGACAACCACCAAAAGATTTACAGCATTTTAACAGCATTGCATAGTGGCATAGTGGGATGCATTCGATTCGCATTCACACCATTCACACCCAACAACTACCGATAGGTTTCGGCTCACCGAGGCTCCTCTACATGTTGCTTCTGGTGTTGAACGTCTATGCCATCTACTCTTTCATCATGCTGGCCATGCGCCCCGAAGGCCTGCGGACTCCCAAGTCGCCCCGGATTTTTGTTGCATCCAGGTATGCGAAAAGTCTTGCAGAGGTAGCTTTTTATATGATATAATCCTTGGAATATGAACTTATGAGCTTCCTGGAAAGCTGGTTCAAGTATGTTCAAGTGCCAAGAGTATTGAAGATATTGAAGCTGTATTCTTTGGCAATTGAACGTGGCAATTCGACAGCTGTCCATTCTTGACAGGAGGCCATAAATGGTTGTGGTCCACTTAGATTTGCTTAACTTAAAAGGCTCCAAATGGTGGATTAACTCACAATCGCCTGCTGAACAGCCAAATCCGCACTCGGATTTTGGTGCTGATTCTGGTGGATCATAATTCCAGTAGACATGGGGAATCAGGGGGATGTGAATCATGAACATTCAGGAATATCGGATGTCACCGGTCAGGGATCTCTTATCTCACTTGAAGAGTGGAAGAGTCTCTGAAATCTAGCCTGGCAATATCTGGCAGCGTGTTCAATCCTTCATTTTCAGATCCATGTATAGGCTTTGATCTGGTTGGGAAACTCTTACTAAGTTAGCTCCCTGGCTCCCTGGCTGCGTAGGGAATTTTTTCAGATGATTCTTTCAGCAAACATCAGGTGAAAACCACAGCAGATCGGTCACTTGATCTGAACTTCCAAACGCAACCGCTTCCTAAAAAAGATTAAAGCTAGATGCAATCCATCCCATAAAATCCAATAAAATCTTCTGTTTCCCTGAGATAAACTAACGGTACATATGGACTATTCTCCATGAGAATCCATAGTTTCCCTAGGACATGATCAGATGAAATCGGTCGATTTTCCCAGATCTTTTTCTTCATCCAGGGGAGCGGGTTTTCCAAGCACTGCCACCGTGGATGAAGCCGCTAATGTGCCATGGCTCTTCGATGGCCGAAATGAGGGCTACACCATGTGCCATTTTTGCTGAGCTGCAAGATGATCAACGAACGGAATTTGGGGGTAGGAGTAAGATATGGGTTTTCTGATTGGTGGTTTGGAACCATGGAATTTTATGACTTTCCATCATATTGGGAATGGAATGTCATCATCCCAACTGACTTTCACTCCATCATTTTTCAGAGGTAGGTAGGTTGAAACCACCAACCAGATAATTAATCATCATTCACCATCATTAACCACCATTAATCACCATTAACCATCATATTATGTTGAAACCACCAACCCGGTTTTCCTCTGGGTTTTCCTCTGACCATTTTTTGGATAAATCCTCCCCATCCCCACGCGGTTTTGCCTCACCAGCCGACCCCAACAAAAACTGATGGTCAAAGTCCCAAATTTGTCTTGTTGCATCAACCGATCAAACAAAAAAATCTTTCCAGTCGTCGTTCAAAATGCAGTGCTTGCGAAAAATCCTGATGTCCTGATGTCTTCATGTTCGCAGCCCATCCCATTAGGACTTCGGTCATGGGTTGTCTAGCCCAAAAAAATATGGCCATGTCCGGAAAAGGCATGAAAAGACAACATGATTCAGTGGATTTATCTGGTTGGTGGTGACTGGAACATGTTTTGTTTTTTCCATTTTTTATGGGAATTTCATCATCCCAACTGACGAAGAAATTCCATCATTTTTCAGAGGGGTAGGGCTAGGTATACCACCAAGCAGTTATGATTTGGTACTATATATAGCCATGGCACCCTTTCTTGCCATGGCTGATGACAGTGGTTCACTTCCTCCTGAAATGATGACAGTGGTGATTTTGCAGATCTCAAAACCATCAACCGACCAAGAATGGGCATCTTGGATAGCCCAGAATGATCAAGAATGAGGATTGTAAGAACAACCCATGGGAGTTAATCATGGGGATTTTGAGGAGTTGGGGATTTAATCATGGGGAGTTAATTGTAAGTGGCAGTAAGAACAACCCAAGACTTGAATTTTCAGGATTTCATCATGGAAATTTTGATCATTTTTGTGGTGGCAGCAACCTTTTTTTTATGCTTGTGTCGTGGCGAGAATGGTTAGACTTATGGATTCAAAACCAATGCAAAGATTGGGAAATTCTCATCAACGCCCCTACTTACCCTACTCAAAAAACCGGGGTGAACTAAGTCACAAACACTATTTATGGGGTTTTCGCCACCAAGTATCAATTGTTAGCGCTACATGGAGGATTGAGATTCTCAGCTAGAAATCAGCAGGGTAATACCGTCCATTTGGGTCAGTTCATGTTTGGGAAACTTTCTGATCACCTGGTTCAGATGGGTTTTTCTAGGGTTGCATCTTGATATATCTTGATGTTCTGAATGATTGGTTAACATATGTTAACATGTCCAAAGTTTGAACTGTGAATGTCAACAGACTCAAAAAAACTGGTTGGTGGTTTGGACCATTTTTTATTTCTCCATATATTGGGAATAACAATCCCAACTGACGAAAACATTGGACATGTTTTTTTAATGGGGTGCCATTTTACTAGCGATGCCAAGGGTATGGAGATCTACCAAAAAAAACAGCGGGGTAGCACTCGTTGTCCAACGAAAAAAAGAAAGGCCGCAAGTTTCAGCGAGTGAAAAGGTTCGTGATTTTTTTCCAATTCAGCCAGATCTTCAGATGAATTTCTCATTAAATAAATTAAATCACCACGAAATCCTCATGAAATTTCAACAATCATCTCATGAAAAACATGACACATCACTGTTTGGTGGTTTGGAACATTTTTTCCATTTTTTATGGGAATTTCATCATCCCAACTGACTTTCACTCACTCCATCATTTTTCAGAGGGGTAGGGCTAGGTATACCACCAACCAGGACACATCACCATGAAAACTCCCATTAGATCATCATGATCATCCCCCCCAAATCCCCCAAGATCCCTCCCAATCATCAAGGCTAGGCACCCCTATCGCTGCAGTGGTGACGTATTTCATGGCGTTCATCCAGTGGCTGGGGCATAGAAAATGGGGACCCCAAAATAGTGCTTTGAAATATGGGGAAATATGGGAAAATATGGGAACATGAGGTTCTAAACTTCTAAATGGTTTGGATTTTTGGGGTTTCCTTAAAATTTGGGACAAATCCATATATTATATTAACCCAACAAGATATCACAAAATGGGGGTTAAACCAAATCAACACTAGGGATATGAAGAGCTTCAAGAAGCCTATGTGGGCGCTGCGCGCAGCGTGCGAGTCCTGTGCAACACTGATTTCTTGACAAAGTGCTGGTTGGCAAAGTGCTGTGGTTGATTTTGGCTGTACCTCAATTCAATGGATTGGTTTAAGAGAAATTTTTACAGGAAACCCCCATATTTAATGGGAAAATCTATGGTTTCCTGTAGATTTTCCCGTGAAAACCAATCCATTGATCAATGGATTTCATGATTGTCTCCATTCATCTCCCTGGAATCGAGAGCCGAGTTTCGCCGAGATTGCTATCGATCGTGTTGGGGGCCATAGGAACACCAGGATCCACGAGACCTCTTCGGCCTATTCGACCTGTCGGTATGTGTTAGATCACCATCCACCAAAAGACCGTTGCACCAAAGAAATCTCGACCGGGGAGGATTTGACCACCCAGCAGGATAAAACTTGAGGCTTCCATAGGGCTTTGTCGTTAAAAAAGGGGAATAGAAGCCTGACTTCAAACAGTCTTATTGGATCTTTTTGATGATATGCGCGACATCTGCCGTTTTAAAACATCTCTATGATTTCTATGATATGATATATATATAATTATATATGATATATATATATGATTTCTATGATATGATATATATATATATATATCCCCATTGTGATATCCCCGACAACTGGTTCCTGAAGAGTTCCGCCCTCAGGACAGGTCAGCATGTGAATGAAATCCGCCGAGGAGCTGGCACTCTGAAGCATGTGCCATGGCTGCCATGGCTGCCATTTCCGGTGCCCCCAAACGGAATCGCTGAGTTGCTTGCAATCGCAAGGTGGGTAAAAAAAAACATCCCAAATCGCAATAAACCATCTGATTGGTGGTTTCAAACATTTTTTTCCATAATATATGGGATAGTCCTTCCCATTGACTAATAGTTTTCAACATGGTTAAAACCACCAACCAGTACAGTTTCAACTCCTGTTTTTTGAGTAGGGTAAGTATAGCGTCTTTATGTCCACCGAAAAAAAACTGGGGTGAACTAAGCCACCAAACACGATGTATGGTTTTTTTCGCCACCAAGTATAGGATTGATGGTAGATATCTCCGCCGCACCGCAGAAAGCTGCAGCAAGGGATACTGTAGACCCCATTCATGCAGTAATAAGCTATCCCTAAAACTACCGTTTTTATGGGTGTTTTTTTACCATCCCCAGTCATGGTAGGTTTATGGAAACGGGTTTCCCACGTCAAATATGCTCAGGATCGTGCAGTGCAAATTATCGCCCTTCCAGCGGTCTTCGGCTGTATGGCTATGAACGTTCCTTGGCCGATGCGGCGATGTCCTTTCGCGGTGAGGATTCATTTGGTAACCACAATTTCCATAGAGCTCCAAGTCCGAATGGTTTTGATCTCTATTTCGGGCAAGTCATTAGGAATGGTGTATACCAAGAGAATCCAAAACCTATGAAAACGTAGGTCCCATAAAAAAACCGGGGTTTTGGGGGAAAACCCGAGGGTTTGGATTCTCCTGGTTTAAGAGATGTTGATAATGTTGAACCGATGCCCACCTCAGCAGCGTGTCTCGCACTTACACGCACATGGAATATAGAACATGCCTCATACAACAGAATAAAGATGCCAACAACATCAGCGCAAACAACCTTTATATTCAAAATTCCTATTTTCAGCAATGGCCACAAGTGCCCGATCATCCACAGCCCTGCTCAATGCGGCTCTTATTTTCTCAAGTCTTGATGAAACCCTCTTTGCGCGAATGTTTATAGGATGCGGAGCCGTTCTGCGGGAGATCCTCGAGTTCTCCCTACAAAGTTTTCTGAGATTTGAACAGAATGACAAAGCGGGTTCAGGAAATGCTGCGCGCTTTCCTGCAGATCCAAATCCATCTTCAACTGAAAGACAACGTGTTCCATGCTGTGATGCTGTGCCCCTTGGGCATGTGCGGGAACAAGGCCCGGCCAGCAGTGTAGGCCTGGGCCGCAAGATTCTTGTAGCATTCCATAAATTCTTTTCAGCTACCTCAGGCTGTACGTCTTGCAAGGTGAAGACCGTGCTGTCAAAACCCTGGATCTGGATTGAGCCCAATGGCTGCCCAAGTTGTCTTCTAGGTGATCTTCCAATTTTGCCGATGTAGTGGCCATGAGTTTTGACAGCTTCTTTGTATATGATAGATTTGTTGGTTAGTTATATATATATTGCTAACCTTGTAGGGCAGTTTCTGGCCCCGCACTTGCAAGCAGGAGCCTCCGCGCCTGTAGTTTCTTTCCGCGTCACCAGCGGTTTCCCATGGCGGCTACAAAAAGATATTGTCGATGCAGCTCAGGTTGATGGGGTATCTAACCATTGTTTCATCCAACATTGGAGTATCTGGGGACTTCTCGGATGATTTTTCCCTAGCGCCTAGCAGTTTGCAAGTTAAGAAAGCACAATGATTTTGAAAGGTCATTTGCACAAGGGCAAACTATGGTAATCTTCAGCCCCCTGTGATGTAGCAATGGTGCTGTTGTCACCTCACCAGATTTCAAATCCTGAAAACCAGAAACAATTTCAAAATGAGATCCCTTACTTTTTTGAGGCTGATATTCCCATTTCAGGGTCGACCATTATGGCTCCTTTGAGCCACCCCAGCGTTCCTGGTAGCAAATTTTTGGGGTGATGAAAGTGCTATGAACAGGGCCTATACATAGGAATATATAGGAATATTGGGAAAAACAAGGGTTTTTGATCAAATGCCGGTGTTTTTGGTGATATCAGGTGGAAAAGCCGAGGTCTTCCAACAAGACCTACATTTTTGTAGGTTTTTGATTCCTTAGGTATATATATATACTAATGCTATCTAATTCTTTTGGGTTTACCATGGTTTACCATTAACATTACCGCCATTTCTTTTAAAAGAATTGGATGAGTTCATCATCACCATCATTGTGGCAGTTAGTGTTAGTGGCAAACTTGACGCCCCCGAGGTGACAGATGAGTAACTTTTTGGTGTGCTTCTTCGTTCTCGACCCTTAACATTTAGGCTTCCGGAATTTGGTTGTTAAAACATGTTACAACATGGTTAAAAGCCATATTAGGTACTGTACCATTTAAGAGTCCTAGAGTTGAAGTGGGAAAACTGGTAAAAACATGTAAAAACAATGGTTTCCAGCAATTGATCACTTTCACCGACCCAATGATTGAGGGATAAAGGGACTTCTCTGCGCCAAGGATGGAGCACAGCTAAGGCGAATCATCCCCATAGCCGGCCGAAGTGGATATGGATAAATTAGCATCATTCACTAAAATATGGATAAACTATTAGAATATGGATAAACAGCTTGGTGACTGTTCACAGTTTATCTATATCTATGTTCATTTACTGTACGCTGGCGTAAACGAACAACTTTTTGAATGCCGACAATGGCCCCTTTATAGATGATTTTGGTGATTTCACAGTTGTGTGAACTGGAAGCGACAATGGGAATGCCCATGTGGGCATGTCATGGTCTGTCTGAAAAACGGGGCATACCCCCAGCTGCAACCATTTTTTGGGGGTAATATAGGATAATGATGAACAAAACAAATGGAGTTACGGGTTTTCATGGGTTTTCCCCTAATTTGTTCAGACAAATTCACACATCATAAGCCTATTGTCACCTCGCCATGGAGTCTGGGCTGATTAGCTCACCCGATGCATACCTGGCCAAGGCGTTGACGAAGATGTTCGAAAGTGCCGCCCAGTATAACATCGAGGAGCTTGGCGGCAGGGGCAGGGGCTGAGGATTGAGAACCCCTAAAAAAGTGAATAAATAAATAAACATATGGGTGTGTCTGAAAATAGTGTACCCCTAAACCCAATGGTTAATGATCATTATCCCTATTAAATGGCTATTTGTTTGGGAATATACCCTATTTTCAGACAAACCCATATATACACGCATATTTCTGTAAATCATTTCTACTATTTCCTCAATCATGGGGAGAAATAACGTGATATAGAACGAATATGAACCAACTAAATCTAGGTGATGGTTTCAAAATTTGCTTTTCTCCAACCAAAGAAATGGGACGCTGACCCCCAATGACTTTCATATTCTTGAAGGGGGGGGTGCAACCATCAACCAGTTTTTTCGACGGCCGTGGCAAATGGCTCAAAGTCATTATTCACCTTCACATGAAAGGATGGATAAATACAAATTAATTGCAAATTTCGTAAGGCCGGCAAGGTATGCGGGAACGATGATGCCAAATACAGCGAGGTTCCAACATTTTTTCCGGAGGGAAATGGCTCGAAAGTTGGACCCCCCACAATTACTGGATATTTCGATTCGAATTCGCAAAAGAATAGTGTTGCACCTGGGCCGCATCGCATGAGAAAGCTTGATCCAGACATGACCATCCTATTACCTGTCTTATAGAAGTTGTATGCGGTTACAACCGATTTTTGTTGGCCAACCAGCCAACCAAACATATATTAAATGAATGATAATACATGATAACAAATCAGTCTATAAACAAACAAATAAATGCTCTATATATATGTCCCCTCCTCCGTCTCTCCACTCCCCCTCAATGGGGTGGGGGGGGGGTCACTACCAGCCACAGGGGGGGAAGGGGGAAGATCTCATATAAGGGCAGTACATGGAAGCATGCAAAGAGGAAGACATACTGTAGGTATGAATATACAAGGGCACTACCAGCCACAGGGGGGAAGGGGGAAGATTTCATATGGGGGCAATATATGCATGACGTATATGTAATATATATATATATATATTTACATACATACATACATATATATAGTATATATATACATATATATATATACATACATATATACACACATATATATACATATATATATACATATATATATAGATATACATATATATATATACACATATTTAAATATATATATACATACACACACACATATATATATACACATATATTTATATATATACATATATATATATATACACATATATATACATATATATTAACATATTTACATATTATATATATACATACATTATTTTTGTTTACGCATACACACACACATATATATATTTACACTGCACGTATATATTTAAATAATGTATGTCGTATATAAAGCATATACTATACGTGCCTAACGCCACTAAATATTACATACAGAAAACCTAGCACTACATACCTAACACTACACACCCAATAGATACCTTGTAAAACCTAACACGTACTTAACATACTACCCATTGCATGCCTATATACCTATACACCTACATTATTTGCAACCGTATGTGATTCCCAAGACTATATGCTATACACCTAATATCTGTTGACTACCAATTCACATATCTACCTCATGGATAAATATAGAAAGGCAATACATATAGATGTAAACACAATTACTTTCTTATATATATATAGTACATTATAGACTGAGCCATTTTCTTTGCTGCAATCTGGCTATCGGATACCCCTTCTTCAATGGTCCATCAGGACCAGGCAACCAGTCTCGCCTATCGCGGTGTGTCCGCGCTGGCTGTGTATCCAAGCCCAAACAATATGAACAATAGCACGGCGGCGAAGCTTGGACTGCAGAAAAGAGATGGGGGTGTAACCATCAACAACAGGGATTTAATGGGATTTCATATATATATATATATAACATATACATATAACCAAGCACGACTATACAGGGTTGTCCGAAAATCGCGTGCCCAAAATTTCTACATCCAGTGGCTAGTCATCGTTTTAACCTATATATTGATAGACATTTGGGGCTTATTCCTCCAGTGGCATTTTTTTTTTCTTTGTTGCCCTTTCTTGGTTTGGCTTTGGCATTTTCAGATGAAATTCTGCACTGCTTGGATCGGGTATTTCCCCAAACAGTGCATCCACACTGAGGGGTTCTTACGGTAAGTGTAAAGGCCGGTGCTTGATCAGGGTGCTCACTCTGGGCTGCGGCATTTTTCCTGTCAATTTCCGTATAAAGTAGCTCTTGTGAAATCTTGACATGCGTTTCGACCGCGCAGGCTCGCACAAAGTCTGCGCAGTGGTTTTAGTCTGCGCCGTGGTTTTGGGCTGCGGCAATTTTCCTGTAAATTTCCATATAAAGTGGCTTTTGTGAAATCTTGACATAAGTTTCGACTGCGCAGGCTCACGCGAAATGTGTGTGTGTGTGTGTCCGTGTTCCGGGCTCAATCTGGGCTGCGGCGTTTTTTGATGTTTTTCGTGTAAATTTCTGTATAATAAAGTGGCTCTTGTGAAATATTGACATGCGTTTCGACTGTGCAGGCTCGCACAAAGTCTGTGCCGTGGTTCTGCATAGCGTCATTGTTCTTGTAAATTTCTGCACAAAGTGGCTCTTGTGACATGTTGAAGTGCATTTCGACTGCACACGCTCGCACAAAGTGAGGTCTCAGGTCTTGGGATCAGTCCTCCTCCTCAACATCATCATGCTCAACATCATCCTCCTCCACCTCATCTTCCACAACATTCTCATCCTTTTCCTCATCCTCCTCAGCATCATTATCTTCCTCCTTCTCAACATCATCACCCTCCACCTTGTCCTTCTCCACTTCATCTTCCACATTGTCATCCTCATCCTCATCCTCCTCAACATCACCATCCTGATCCTCATCCTCATCCTCCTCAACATCATCATCCTCCAAATCATCCTCCGGCACCTCATCATACTCAATATCATCTTCCTCCACAATATCGCCCGCAACATCATCATCATCATCATCATCATCACCATCATCATCATCATCATCATCCCCAACATTATCCTACATTATCCTACATTATCTTCCCATTCCCCCCACACTGTTTGGGGTCTCTTGCCGGGATAATTTTCTTTTTATAATATTTATGTGACAACGTTTTGATAGGTCGGGTGTTTTTGGAAGGGGCTATTGGATTTGCTAATGGACGAAACGTGTGGCAAGGACGTGGTTTTCAGCCCCGTGCCGCACAGTTTCCTCTTCGTAAGTGCAATTTGGGGCTCCCAATATTTTCTTGAGGGGTGTTCCATGGCAAGTGCCAGTTTGTCCCATTTCATAGAATTGTAGTTAGTTGGCAACTGTGCACTTGGTTTGTCATGGCACTACCATTGTTTTTTTTCTATGCAGGGGGATGTCTGCAAGGACTTAAGTGTATACGCGGTAAACTCATGTCCCCATTCTTGATGTTCCCATGTTTCCTGTTTGATCGCTTGATCCTATTGTTGTGTCTTAAATTCCCGTTTTTCGTCGCTTCAATCCACATTTTTTGTGGGTATAACCCTCATATTTTGCTACCTACTCTTGCTTGCTTTGAACAGAGTTGTTGTTTCAACCCAGAATAAGCAGTTGTTTTGCCCTTGCTTGTCTCTCGCTGAGCAACGTTGAAGCGCTGCGCAGTTCAGGAATGCTTCGCAGTTCTACTTGGCTCAAGTGGAGACTTGCTTCCAGGTGATCTACTTCGTTTCGTTGCGTTGAAACGTTGGAAAAACGTTGGAAAAACGGCCAAACGGCTCAACCAAGTGTTACGGCCCGGTCGCACATTGTTGACGGGTGTGGAGGCCACAAGATTGGTGAGTTTCTGCATTTTTTTGGCGGTTTGACCCATAACTGCGTTTGGAGATCTGTGAATAGGCATTTTGACTTTGGAATGCTGATTATGTGTTTTTTCCATGAAACTCCGTTGCTAAGTAACAAAGGTTTTGATTTTCAGATATGCAGTCGACAACAGAATTTGCAACCAGGTTTCCCTTCCTATATTTGAATTCAACATGTGAACTTGGTTGCAACATCTTCGTTGTTGCACCGAAGATGTGTCAAAAATGGGGATACGTATGGATACGTTTACAACATATAGTCATGTGCATTCGAAAACATGGTGATTCCTGTAACCATGAGATTTTGGGGTACCTCATTTTTTGTGTGCATCCTTTGATTTTCTTTGGACCACATGGAAAAAATATAGGAAGCACAGGTTGGAAAATCCACCAGTAATAGTTGGGTTTTCCCAGCGAACTAGACCTCCATCCATTTAGTTGGAGGATTTCCCCCATTTACCTTCCTCTAAAATCACCATTTCATAGGTTTTTTGGTAGGGGGATTCTCTAGGAAAGGCCCGCTTGTTGTTGCTTTTTGTTCTCCCTGATCCCCTGATCCGCTAGGTGGGGGATCTGTATGAAGCTTGGGCGTGCCTGGGCTTTCCCGAAGGTCCCATGGAAATGGAATGGGAGCCCAACTTTCAGACAAGGCCATTTTTCAGCGATTTCGAATCGGGTTAGCAAAAAAACACTTGTTTCCACTGAACTGATTGAAGCTGTATTCGTATGGAAGATTATTTTGACTGGAAATTGTGTTTTGTGCATTTTCTTCACTATTTTATATTTGTTCATTGAAAAAAAAAAATAAAAAATATATATATATCTATATTTGGTACTAGGTCAGACTGGGCAAATGACATTTGGAGAAGAAATCTAGAAGTGGACAAGAAGAGTTGGAACACCATATTTCCATGTCTAGAAGGGAAATTCATGGAAATTCACCATCTCTGAAAAGAATTTGGTTGTCGCTTCTTTTGTTTCACTTTCTCTCGCCGGTTTTTTGGGCATTTCAGATGTGGCCGGGACTGCAAGCACGAAGCCAGCTGGCTCAACCTTATGCTGAGGTTGTACCAGTTTTGCAAGTTGACCTTAGAAGTGCTCAAGAACTGCTTGGAAAAGACGGCCAAGGCCGTGGCGCATCGTGGCGCGGGTAAGGCGCTGTTCACAAGGCGAATCCCAGTAAAAAGGGATGTTGACCAACCAATAGTGAGGATTTTATTCAAAAAATGATGTGGTGATTCAATATTTTCAATATATTCAATAGATTTATATATATTCAATCAACATCAATGGGGGGTCACTTCAATTCTAAAGATACTTGGCGGATCCAGCAGGTCTGGCCGATAAAATTAGGCAACTGTAGACATGTGTTATGTGAGCCATACACCCTAGATAGCCCGGTTGTAAACCAACTTACCTATCATAAACCCACTACCAACCACCATTTATGTTGATATGTACCTCATGATGAATCACTTCTAGTGATTATATCCGCATGTTTTATTGGTCAGCATCCCACTTGCAGGATATTCTTGAACAGTTAGATCTCATTTTTTTTTTAAAACTAAATAGATTATTATCCATTTATATCCCATGTATATCCCTTTATATCCATTGAAGTCCACTAATATCCCATTTATAAAAGCACTACTAGAGATTCTTCTCCATTCATACTACTTCCTTGGGTCCCACCGCCATCCTCGTTGCCAGGAACAAAAGAGCGAGGACAGCGAACGGAAGGTCCTGGCATCCGGGCTCCTCGTGGCCCACAAGTCGTTGGCGGACATCGCCTACACCGGGGTGCCGGGAGATGCCGCGGGGGTTTGAGAGGTTTTTGAGCCAAATTCATGGGTTTACATATTGGTTTATATATATATATTGTGTATATATATATATACACATATGTATATATAGGTATGTATATATATATATAGATATGTATGCATATATATATAATATAAATATATATAATTATAATTATTTATTTATATATAATTATATATAATTGTATATAATTATATATGTAATTATTTATAAATATATTTGATTATTTATATATATATATTTAAGTATGTACATATGTATGTATGTATATATATACATATATGTATATACATATATGTATATGGGTTTATATGTGTATGATATGTGTATACAGGTTATATATCAGATTGCTCTTCATAGTCTGGAACAGACATGGTGCAGTGGCTTTGGGTCTCCGTCTGGGTCAACACTTGCAGGATCATCGACTCGAAACTGGTTAGGAAGCCTGGTTAGTACGTCCCCTAAGTCATCCCATCTAAATGATTACCCTCTGGTAAACTAACATACTATGGGAAATCACCATTTTTCATCGGAAAATTCACTATAAATGGTAATGTTCCATAGTTATGTTAAATTACCAGAGGGTATCTAAATGGTTAGCCCTATGGTTACTTGCCCCACTGATCCCTAGGGCGATCATTCATTACACAACACAACCGGCGGAAGGTGATCATGTTCTTGGTGGTGTGCTGCGCGGAAGCCAGTTGGTCTTTGTACCTTCTAACCTTTACCAATCCAGAGGCGAGCCGCGGCAGATGCTGCAGATGCTGCAGCTGGGATAGGAGATCACAGGAGCTAGTGGAAGCCCATTGGACTATGGGTAAAGTTTTGACTGCGACCCCCACTGTCAGAGACTGTGACCTCACTGGAATCATGGTTAATCATGCTTCATGAGGGGAATGATCTCAATAGAAACTTATTTCAGGGGAATTGCTATAGTTGACCGACCCAGCATAGTAAGCACCATATAAAAATGGGGCTCTTGAAGACGATGTTCCGCTCTGGCCTCTAAAATATGGATTCCAACTTTTGAATGTGTGAGGGGTGTTTTTTTTCATCACATCCACAATTTAGATTGGATTTTCCCAGCTACAAACCTCCATTTACAGCGGATTTCCCATTGACACCTGTGATTTTCTGGCAAACTTTGGCAAGATGATCATGATGATAGGCCCTTCTCGGCAGGTCTCGGCTCTCCTTATTTTCCCAGCGTGGTAGTGATGTTTTTTTAATAGGGAAACGATGGGAAAGTCTATGTTTGTCATTTTTTAAAGGTAAAGCATCTCATTCTTAGTCTTCTTGATGGTATTTTAGGGATGCTTACTTTAAGTCGTTGGTATCCATTGAGCCTCATTTTTCGTCAGCAGCTTTGAAGCCGTTCAACATGAGTCCATGGTTGCTATGGTTGCCATTTCTATTGGACACAGAAGCCCTTAAACATTAGTTGGTCTCAAACGGCCTGCGAAAAACACAACACATCGAAAGCTAAAAGATTTCTTGGTCACATATCAACACTATATTTGTCCTGGGATCTAGCCTAGCGCCCAACAAGAATAAGATTTCGTCGTCCCCAAAGGACTTGCGACAAACACCGCAGGCCAATTGGGCAGACTACAACACTCAAATGGGCCGCCTGGCTGTGAAAGGGGCACGCTGCCCGGTCCAGGACATGGATAAACCTGGATAAACATGGATTGAAGCTTGTGTCAACATGTCATGTTTTCACCGTTTTCAGCCCCAAATATAATGAAAAAATGGTGAAGATGCTGAAGTTTTCTTCTCACCATGGGATGGGGACTTTTTTTTTATTTGGAAAGCACCTGGGAAAGCTAAAGATCTGGAGAATGTGAAGTAATCAAAGATAGATCCAGCTATGCGAGCGCAGGTTTCAGCATAACATGACTCACATGTCACATGACCATGAAGCGTCACATTTTTAGACGACTCTCTATATCTGTGGGCATGGTTTCTCACGGTTTCTCTACTATCCAGGGATGGGTGATTTTCTCATGAAGAGGATGGTCATCAACTCATTTTCATAGGGGTGAGACTATACCCAGAAGCCATCGCAAATCCAAAAATGGGGAATCCCATGTACAGGTAGACTATACCCGGAAAAATTGACGAAATATTCCCAGAAGTATCCGGGAAAATACCGAAAAATGTGGGAATCCCATTGAAATATCAGTAGGATGACCAAGAGCCCCATTCATCCCATTCACGGACTTGTGATATCAACAGAGGATTCTGACAAACCCACCAGGCCCAGGCCACGAAACATGCCCCCGATTCCCCGATGCCTCCTGGATTCTTGGGCGCAACTCACAGAATTTACTTTTTTTTGCACCATCTTTTGGGCTTTTGAACTCTCAGCATGCATCAAAAGTCCCTGATCTGTTACAGGAAAGTATGACTTACTCCTGATATCTTCTGCCATTTGGTCATTTCTGACAAATCCAGCCGGTGATGTAGCCATGGTTATGTTCACTTCCCGGATTCCTGGGAGTCGGGGGACAAGTGGGTTCCTCGATTTTGAAGCTAACGTTTTTTCCCCACCTGCCAGGTGAGGGTCTCTAGATTTTAACAAAGGTTCTAGAGGCAACATTCCCATATTCAGAAAATCTTCGCACACCATGTTTTCATCGTACTCCAGACCTGGGTTTTGGTATGTTACTTTGATAGGCATTTCAGCTCAATCTGGAGGGAACAGTTGGGCCACGGCGAATCCACTGAATGCCCCTCCACAGCTTTCTATCCCCTATGTCGTTCCAAAGCAGCTGTGGACGTTGAATGAATTGAAGGCTGCTTTGATAAGGAAGTTTCTTCATTTGTCTACCGAAGAAGGACAGGGTTGTCAAGGGTAACGTTTTTAAAGGTTGGCTGAGTAAAAATTAGAAAGTTTCTTCCCCGGGGCCTCACCCAAGGTGAACTCGGAAAAATAGAACCCACTGGTGTGCCCCTGGAAGTTTGGGCTGGCTTTGGGATTGGAATTTTGGTTCTGGCCCCGAAATTTCCCTATGTGGTCTCTATACCAGCCACGCATACTCGGAATTCTTCGCATTCCACAAATTCTTCGCACTCCAGCGAGGGCATCGCACTCCACAGCTAGGGACGTGCACATACTATAATATCCACGCACTCTGCAAGATCTTCGCACTCCATAAAATCTTCGTACTCGGTGATTTTTCGTTTTTTGCGTTTTTTTTTTTTTTTTTGGGCTAAAATCGCCTGGAATCACGTTTTCTGGAATATGGGCAAGGTAGCGGTTTCGCGTGAGACGTCTGTAGTTTCACATACTATCGCATTCCAGGCCATTTTGGCCAAAAATGACCAAACAAAAAAAAAAGAAAAAAAAAGCTCAGCAGGGTGAAATGTGATAATTTTCTGGTATATGATGGAAAAAACTGGTGTTGGATCCATGGGGAAGGTCGAAGGGGGCCACGCATACTGTTTTATTTTCGCATTCCAGAAAATTAGCGCACTCCAGGGGTGGCATCGTACTCTATCGGTGGAATTAGTTTGCACGGAAGAAAACAGGATCGTCGATGATTTGTGTTCCGAGATCCTGTTGTGCAGGGCTCTTTGCGGGGCCACAAAGATGTCAAGAAAGATGGGGATGGCGCTGCTGGTGAAATGCCAGCCAAGCGTGCCAGAACATAAGCTTAAAGCTTATGAATTGGGTTTTGAGATCCTGAAAAGTGTAGATGACAAATTCCCATAAGAACATTATTAATCCATTTTTGGAAAGCTCAACATTATTAATTATGACATTTCCAGAAATTGTTGAAAGTAAGGATCTTCTTTGCGGAAGAACATGTGCAGTCGACAACGTACGTGCCAGAAGATAAGGAGTACTTGGCAAACTGTATGAAATACAAATTTCACCTGAAAGGGGTCTTCGCAATTCCCTGAAATTTCCCAGCTACTTTGGCATGGAATATGTTCGGCCCTGGAATATGGGCAAGAAATTGCTAGAAAGGTGCAACTTCTTCTTCTTCTTCTTCTTCACCATCTCCTCCTCCTCCTTCTTCCTCACCTCCGTCTTCTCTCCTTGTCTCCTCTCATCTTCTCCGTGTCCTTCTTATGCCAGTTCGTCTGCACTGTGGAACCAATGGACCCGATCCCGATCGCGAGCTCCGGAGGCTGCATATATATTTGGCATCCTATCTGGCATACATTCTGACATCCTATCTGTATATCTGGCATTTATTTCTGGCATTCTGTCTGGCATATATTCTGACATTCAGTTTGGCATTCTGTCTGACATTCTCTGTGGCATGTGTTCGGGTCCAGGCGCGCCAAGCTAAAGTAAATGCCAGATAGAATGCGAGATAAAATGCCAGAGAGAATGTCAGAATACATGTCAGAATGTATGTCAGAGAGAATGCCAGAATAATAGAATATATTTCAGATGGGATGCCAGGTAGAATGAATGTCAGAATATATGTCAGATAGAGTGTCAGTTGCTAGGGGTCACTCGAAGCAAGTATTTTTTGGTGTGTGTATATATGTGTGTCCGCGCAAATTTACATCCATGTATGCGCATGTGTATGCACACAAACACACACATATATATATAGATATGTATATTAATGTATATATATATATGTATATTAATGTATATACGCAAACATATAGACATGTGAATCAACAAGTCAGTAGGTATTATAAGATCCAAAAGCACGTACACCTACACACACACACATGTACACATGTACATAATACGGATAATTGCGTGTGCATCTTTTTGCACATGTACCTGGCAACTGCGTGAGATAACCCCCTTACAGCGAAGGTGTGACGGCCGCCGTGCCATCAACGAATGAACTTTCATCACCAAGTGCCGAGGCTTCAGGTTGCCCATCCCTGACATGGCGATTATTTTCATGACGATATCAGATACCCCCTTGGCCTGGTGGCAGCGGGGTTTGCCCAGCCACTGCTGCGCATTGAAGGGGCACGTTGCTACAACATACCCTTGCGCTAGCATCCACTAGCGCGAAAACTGGAAGTTGAACACGGGCGCCAGGGACAGGAACAAGCGGTTTGCAGGCCCCACGACATGCGATCTTGCGGGCGCAGCTTACAATGGTGCTCCGTGTTTGCCCAAGGCAAGTTCCAAGCTGCTGGTTTGGTCACATCGATGGCCGCGATTTACAACCTCAACACGGCGGGCTGAAGGGCAGTGGGTGTGTTCGGCAGATTTGGGCCAGATGGGGGGGGCAATAGCAGTTCTGCTCCAACGTTTATGCGCTTAGTGATGCCTACAAACGTTGGGCGGTGATCTGTCACGGCACATATGTCGAGTTCTAGAGGTGGCAGAACGGCGTTTTCAAACAATAAAGATTGGGTTATCATGTGCTTGGTGAGGACAGCATTTTCTCATACAGACCCATCATGCCATCATGGCCTTACTTGCTGGTTGAAGAACAGTGGGGATATTTCATGATGTTTCAATATATTTCAATGCTCAAACATATTTTGGCTGTGTCGCCAAAGGAAACTGATAGTTGGGAATGCCCATGTTTGCCAAATTGTACCAGCGCAAGCCGCTGGTTGCTAAGCATGTCCAACAGGTTGAGATGGAATTCCACGACTACTTCGAAAGTTCCACAGCTTGAGATCGACACGATTCGAAACGGCTGGTATCCAGCATAGTCCAGCCGGATCAGATTCCCACCCTCATCCTGAATGTACCCTAATCCTAACACTCTGGGATTCAATGGTTGTTTTAAATTTATTTTCATTTTCCTGGGTTTTTCGCGCGAGATCGATGGATTTACATACAAACACGAACTTGGGTGCACTAACCTGGGACAGGGACATTCTTATGTTTTTGAGGACGCCAAATGAAACGAGGGCGGCTACGTTCCATTCATCTGTATATTCCAAGGGTTCACAAACAGTTCGCTCCCCAAATCCATTATTTTTTGCCGCGGGTTAGGCTCCACCTTCTTGTTTTCAGTTGAGTGGTTGAACCTTTTAAGCAAACGAATTAAAGACACGTTTATGTTGTTGTATATCTTTTTGTTGTAATTAATTAATGTTAGCCTTAGTAAAGCAATGAAAAATATGATATATTAGTTCGTCCATGCCACCCATAAAGATGGTAAAATTGAAAATGTTGGATCCTATTTTTTTGCTCACCTTTCCATGTTTTTCCCAACATTTTCTGATTTTCCGAGGTTTCACTCCCTTGCTGAAGTTTTTGACCGTGAAGATCTTGCTCTCCTTGGCTTATTTCCAGAAGGCGCCGACGTTGAAAACTAAAAATAGGATGATGATCACAATTGGTTTGAAATTGTGATGTATTTTTCCGTTTTTGGAACGTTTTTTTTTTGCTCCACCCCATAATTTGGTTTGTCCGAACATGAGGGGAAACCGACAATTTTTATATTGACAGCGTAAATGATGATAAACTATAGGATTTTTTTACTAGGGTACCCTATTGCCAGACAAAACCTAATGAATCCATAAATCTACAATACACATTTATGAATCCATAATAATCCATATGTTTCCATATTTATCGCTGACATATTCACATCGTCATTCTTCCCAGGGCTGCGTTTACGTCCTGCAAACGGTGAACCGTTCCCTCCCCGGGCTGCTTCAAAACGTCATCAACGCAGTGCCCTTCGTGAAAGAATTGGTGAGTGGCACGGCAAAAAATGCTGGGATTGTGGATCAGATTTGGAATGCCTAGTTCTAATGATTTGTTTGGAAGACGCAAAACTAGACTTTGGAAGTAGGTGCCACCTCAACTGTTTGGAATTTGGGCAGCAAGTGCTACGGTGCAAATTGTGTGAAGAAAATGGACCCTGACAGCCTTTCCTGTCCATCGTGGCAATGGAAAATGCCCTATAAATAGAGGTTTCTAGCTGGGAAACTCATCTATAAATAGGAGATTTTCCATTGCCTTGTTTGATTTCCGGAGGGTATCAACATTATTTGTTAAACATATATATTTGGCTACATCCAATTTTCGTACAAACCCACCTTGGTGAGTCCTGCAAATGAGGCATGGGGGACACCGAGTCTCTTGGCAGATGCTATGATGCATGGTTTTATGAAACCATACGACGCATGGGTTTGCAACCCAAATAGGTTATAAACCACTGGCCATTTAGCGTAGCTATGGACAATTCCCCATTTATCGATGATTTTCCCAGATAAATTTCCAATATTTCCATTTACAGGGGATTTCCATAGCTATGTTAAATAACCAGAAGGTAACCCTCTGAAAATGGTGATTTATCGCGATTTTCCCAATGGCCAATTTTTGAATCCCCACTTTGGCACAGCTCTGTACTATGACTATATGAGTCAGGCAAGGTGCAACTTTTTTGGTGGTGTTTGCATCTGGTGAAGATCAGTCTTTCAACATAACCAGATCCGGCTTTTTGTTTCGCGGCATGTGCAACTTTATCTCGTGTGATACAGTGATACATGATGATATTGCGTTTGACTCTCAGAATGGTAGGAAAAACATGCCGGAAACCATACTCTTGCCATCAAATATGGGAGGTTCGAGTTGAAAAGAAACCCTTTAACCAATCTGACCACAGTGAGGTTCTATCTCTTCTATTCATCTCTGATCCTCTACGCTTCTTGGATCAAAGTCGCAGACGCAAACTGCAGGGTTTGGATCTGGCAATGCCCAAAACCATGCAGGTTGTCTTGGAATAAACCACTGATTGGCAACTCATATACCAGCTCTCCCTTGTTGCAAGCCCGTTTTTTTTTTTTTTAATGTCCCCTTTCCATTCACTGCATCCTCCATTTCTATGTATTTTCAAGACATCCCCATGTGGTGTGAGAAATCTGTTGCGTTTCTTAGGGATCACCCTTTTGGCATACCCCGGTGTTCTGTTACGAATCATCTACACACGTCGAAACTCACATACCTCACCGAGCGCACGTCTCAGGAATGCGTTTTGGGTGTCTTCTTTCATTGGTTTGGCAGGGACTCTCAGGAGGAAGTAGAGCTGGTGTCATCACCATGTTAGACCTTCGATTTCAAAATTTGACCCACAGGAAAAGTTTGAACAAATGAACAAAACACATCTCATAGCGATCTTCTCATAGCGTAGACTGCGTAGACTTTAGGATCCCTATAGGGGTGGTTTAAATTCCAGCGGGGCTCAAGAATGACATAACTTTGTCATCAAGCATCATCAAGTTGCTGGGGATATCATCCCAATTCCTACAGGATGCCCCCCCAGTGATGTTGGTTGGTTTAAAAAACCAATTAGCTATAGTTAATTAACTTACTATATCCAATTAGCAATAGTTAATTAAATTGCTATATCCAATTAGCAATAGTTAATTAAATTACTCTAAACCATAGAATTCAGCCACAAAAATATCTCAACTGAACGCTATCGAAAATGGGGGCCGCATCCTTCGGGATGGAGTCGTTTTAACCATTGAGATCATCCCGTGGAAAAATCAGTTTTTTTTTTCAGTCACTTATTGCCATTATAAAATACCATGATAACATATAATATCATATAATAACTATCCCATAGATTATATATAATATGTTTAATATATATCTGTATATATATATGATATATATATATAATACATATTTATATAATACATATAATATACATAACATACACTATATATAGTATTATAACTATCGTGTTGTTATTTTCCTCTACGGATCAGCAAGGGACTTCTTGGATCACCGCGCCTCGGCTTAGCTTGGCCCTCCGATGAGCCTTTCTACGGATTTGATGTGCAAGGCGCCTGTGGAGACGGGCGGTGAAAGCCACGTAGACCAAGCATGAATGGGGATATGATGGGGACATGTTATTAATATTAAAATAAATACACATTGTATATAATAATTTGCTGTTGTATATAATTATATAGTTATATAAAATTATATATAATTATATATATAATATTAACTATATATGACTATATATATATATATAGTATAAATAGAACCAGCAGCAGAAAAGGGGATTTATGAAGCAAACATGGGGAATCTCTATGTCATTTGCATCAACATCATGTAAGATTAGCGAGGTGGGGCACCATTTTTTGAGACTTCATGATATCTCGACGTTTGGTGTATGGCAAAATCTTCTCCCATACTTGGTGGTAGATATCGCTCAAAATTGCTTCCATTGCCATCTGCCTAGAACATGCTAGAAAAAAGAGGTCATATTCCCTATGAGTCCTGGTATATGAATTTCCCTTCAAGATGTTACATCCAAACATCTGCTGGGAAATTGGGAGAAACACCTCCCCAAGTTGCTTCCGCAAGGTACTGAAGCCGAGAAGACGCCGCTCTTGGACAAGGTAAGACTCATGTAAAGCTCACGTGGTCACGGGGAGATGGATTCCTATCAGAACGCCGAGTTCGCAAGGCACCCTGGACGTACATTCACTATCATTAAGTGACATATGATTATATAATGATTATACAATGATGATACAATAATGATATATGGACAACAAGAAGGGTTTCCCCAGCAAATGATCTCTATAAATGGTTGAAGGTGATTACCGCGCAAGATCCCAGTCTAGCCTTCATTGTGTCGACTGCTGGGTGAAACGGACTTTTGTGACTTGGCTTTGAGCAGCCTTGATTTTCTTACTGGTGCTGAACGTAGGGAATGGATGGGTTGCTGGGGGTTGCTGGGATGATTATTGATAGTTAGCTAGTGGATCATTCCCGAAATTTCCCTGCGTAAAACGCACCAGTAAGTTTTTCATGGACTTTTTAATCATGGATTTCTTCGGAAGCTTGCTCCCCTCGGCCCATCCCTTTCTCGCAGGCTTGAAACGCACGGAAAGAAAAGCTGAGCGCTTGGGAGGGAAGTATCTGCCGATAAACACGCCGCCCCCAACGAAACTTGTTTTTTTTTATTCAGGACAGATGGGGAGAATCAGCTCAGTAAAACCAGGCATGGTTATGGTTTTGATTCAGAACATCAGTGGGGGGTGGAGAAAATCCACTGTCAGCTGCTGTCAGATTTCCAAAGGCATCCCTGAGTTACCCCGTCCAGCTTGATGAATCTGAACGAGTTCTGCGTGGGATGATACCAAAAAATGCGTAAAACAAACTTGGGACAGTTATGTAGTCTTAGCACATATTTGTAACATCATGAAGCTTCCATTTTTTTGGAGACTTGAGGTGGACCAAAATACTGCCGAAGTCATGTAGTTCCCAGTGACTTGCTCTTGGACACCATGGACACCGACGCGGGTGGTTTCCGACATGTCAACAACGGCAACAGTTGTGTTGAATGTCACCAAGTGCTGGTTTATTCTTCGAAATTATTTGCAGTTTACTGATGTTTAATGTCAACCGCGGATTCTCCAATCCTACAGGAGTTATATTTAAGTATTTGGTGATATGGCATCCCAATCAACAGCCTAGGGTTCAACATCAACAGCCAGCCAGATGGGGGTTGCAGTATGTTGCAGTTGAAATCATTTTTCAGGGCTCCATTTGGCGACAGTCATGGGGGTTTCCGACATGTCATGGGGGTTTTCCGACAAAGCTCGCTGGATGGTTCCCAATCGAAAATGGATGATACCTACACTGTGAGGCCCCCGTTCGATAGCTAAGTTGGTGCACATAACTCCAATTTCACTATGGTTTATGGATGTTTATGGTACTTATAACGAACTAGTTACTGGGGCGAATCTAAACCAACGTTCACATCACTGGGGGGAGGGCCGCATTGTAGGGGTAGCCCTATGACTTCGGAAACCTCCATATCTCCAATGATTTTTCCCCCATGCCATGGGACTTTCCAAGTCGCCCAAGTGTCGACCTGTGCCGACGCCGGCTCAAGTGTCGAGCTGAAACCCCTCGGCTCCACGTGCTCCACGTTGCGTTGCGTGTCATTTTGAGGTGGTTGAAGTGGGGTGGGGGGGTGGTCAGGTGGGGGTTCATATTGAGGATATCATGGGGATACCTTGATATAGCCTTGATGGGTTAAGGAATTGAACATCCTAGCGTTCTGTAGCAGTAGCAAGTCAGGTTCACGTCCTCATATTTCTCGATGATGAAATCACCAGACACCTCTATTTATCATAAGCTTTCCCGGTGCCAGGCATGTTTGATGACACCGGAGGGTCTCAGTATTATATCAACTACTGCAACTCTTAGGAACTTTAGCCATTAGTAGCTAAGTAATGCTAAGTAGTAAGTAACTAAGTAATGCTAAGTCCTGGGGATCAGAAGGCCACTTTTTAAAGGACTTCTGATCCCCAGGACGATGAACCGCCGTTGTTGCCCCGATCCTCCAAGTGTGATTTTTTTTTCGATCAAAGATGATTTGATCATTGGATTGGGCCAAATTGATCCTCAAATTTCTCCATGAATTGATAATAATTGATATATAAATAAATATATACATATATATACACAGTATGTATATGTATATATATATAAATACAGTTTATATATATATACACATGTATATACATAAAAACAACTGGGAACAGAAAGATCGCCAAAGACACTTGAACGCCTCCAGTTCGTTTTCTTTTTTTTCCAACTCCAATGCCCTTGGCAGGACGTAGCACCAGATGCGTGCCTTGTCAATGACCTGGCCAGTGTCAGAATGTTGGCAGCATTCCGATGAACCAGTGATTACAGGTTGATTTCTGCCTGAAGTATGGTATTTTACCATGTGAAACCAACCATTTTGTGGGTATCAAAATGAATGTTTTTGGGGATAAGTAACCAACTCCATGGGCATCATTTCTGGAAGAACTCTGCGGGCCGACTTCAGGAAGTCGGGTTTTCTAATGTCCCAAAAGGATGGCCGCTCAACGTGGATGAATCTGTAGGATCGTTTCTTGGCCAGTGGCAATCTCTGGATGAGTTGGGTTCTTTGAATTTACTGTATATCTCTGCCTCGAAAAAACCAACAAAAACAGCCAATGGTGGTAATTCCTCAAGATTGTTCGGCGGCACTTTGGTTCATCCTACGATGCGGATCGTTGATGGTTTTTCCGATGGTGACTGGCAATTTTTGGGGGAATATTCCCACTGTACACGCCCTAAACCAATAACAGATAGGGTAGGGAAGATGCTTTTCCCATTTTTGATATGGCCAATGTGTGGTTTCCGCGTTAGAGTTAGGAAGTGTACTCTCTGCTTATTTAACATATAGAGTAAAGCTATGGAAAATTACCCATAGAAATGGATGATTTATAGTGATTTAAAATGATTTTGCTGTAAAAAACATGGTGATAACGTCCAGTTCGCTACGTTCGGTTTCGTCCAAGTGGCACCCTCATGGCGGCGATGTGAGCCGCGTTGAGCTGTGTAAATCAACACCTGTTTTCGACATCATCGATGATTTCAGGATTTCATGATTGTTATATCACTATAAAGAGTATATATGGCTACCCATATGGTCTTGTGTTCCGTGTTCCTACCCCCCCAATGGTATGGGTCCCCAGGTAGCACCCCTTTCCCTTCTATTTGCAAGCTATTGGCAGCATTTCTGAGGTCCAGCCTCGTATTTGCTAGGTCTTTGCAGCATTTCTGACTACCAGCCTCGCATTTACTAGGTACATGCTACCTTTTAGACGACCTACGTAGCACACATACTCCCTCAAAGTACCTACGTGCTACCTATAGTCATGTATACATGTGCTACGTATCTACTTCCTATTTGCTACCTGTGTGCTCTCACAACACTACATGTGTTTAACATATACCGTACCTACCATACATTCCAATGATACCATACATACATACCATACGAACTTTGACCATACATACCATACCTACCATACCTATCATGCATACCACACATACCATACATATGAAACATAATCACCACACCTACCATGCATACAATACCAAGCATACATGCCATACAATCCATACCTACCTTACATAGCAAACATTCCATACTCATCATAGTACCCATACATACCATACAGGCCATACATACTGTCATATCAAACACACCATACCCAACAGACTTTCATACCATACCTACCATCCATACACTACCAACCATTCATGCCATACATACCATACCTGCCATACATTCCAAACATACCATACATACCATACCAACCATACATGCCAAACATACCATACATACCAAACATACCGTACATTAGATAATTACATACCATATTCACCATACCTACCATGCCATATATATTGTCATACATACACTACACTCCCCCCACACACCCCGCACCACACCCCCCCACCACACCACAGGGGGGGAGGGGGACAGTACCACACCCCCACCACACCGTAGGGTGGGGGGAGGGGGACAGTAGGCTGACCCATGACCATGGCCGGGGTGGGAGGGGGGTTTGGACGCTGGACCATATATACTTGTTAAAATATTGCTAAATAGCAAATATGGTTAAATAGACATTGAACATCATTGAATCATATCCACAATTCACACTCTAAATCCCTTCGTTTGATGGGGACTTTCATCAATGTACGGCCAGACATTTTGTTTTAAATCTTCCATGATCATCCTTATTCTTCCTTCATCCCAACGAATTCAGCAAAAATCTCCAATGATCTCAATTCTTCAAGCCAACTCAATTCTCATTTTGGAACATTGAGATTTTTATCTGAATTTGGCTCAACTATCTCCAAATTCTAAGCGTAAAACGTCCCAATTTTCACGAACGGCGACCCCCCTTTTAGGTTGGCCTTTGCGGCTCTGCCTGCTGGCTGTGGCCGCTGCAAATTGCAGTGAGGCGCGTTTTTCTAGTCCCTAGAAACGCACGAATTTTGTCGCCCTAAATCTACCGGTGTCATCAAACATGGCTGAAAAAAAATTAAAGCAAGATATATAGCTGGACAAACCATCGAACTAAATGGATAAGTTTCAATTGCTGTGTGATTATTACCGGAAGGTAGATGATTTCTCTTTTGGAAATCCTGGGTATAGATTCTTTAACTGATCGAACAAAAAACATCGGATGGAATTTAAGGGAAGTCCTCTTTGATGGGAGACGGATTTCCATAATCTTCCCATACTAATGGTGTTTCTTCTGGGTTCCTTAAAACTTCCAGCAACCAAAGTCGGATTCCGACAGACATTCTACGCATGGCGAAAGCCGACGGACTTCAGGATGAACTGTGCGAAGTGGAAGACTTGGAGGTGAGGCTCTTGCAGACGCTGGGCGAGTCTTCCACCATGTGGGGATGATAGCTACCACCCATCTATAGCCTATAGTGGTACATCCGGGATGGATGGTTATTGTTATTAGTATTATTATTGTCAAGAACCGTTTGGAACCATCTGTGACATGCAAATGTCTAGAGATATACTTGTGGCCTTGTCTTTTCAATCTCCATTTGCGCCACTGCCATTCCCAGCGTCCGAGGGACTAGGGTGGCAACTGAGGACCAAGACTCAGCTGTTGCAACCACCAGCGCAAGATGCGACTGCTGCGCCAGCCACGCCTGCGACGGAAACACCGGCCATTGCGACGACACAACCCCTTCCACCAGCGACCGAAGCACCAGCAGTGGCAACAACTCAACCAGCAGCACCAGCAGCAGCACCAGCAGCAGCACCAGCAGCAGTTGCGACAACTCAGCCAGCAGCACCGGCAGCAGCAGTTGCGACAACTCAACCAGCAACAGCAGCACCAGTTACAGAAGCAGCAACCACAACAACTCAACCACCAGCACCAACAGAAGCTGCACCCGTTGCAACTCACCCCCCTCCGCCAGCAACTCAAGCACCACCAGTTGTGACAACTCAACCCCCTCCGCCACACGCACCGTCACAGCCCCCAGCAGTTGAGCACCCACCGGCGCCGATCCGCCTGCCCCCTCCGCCGGCTTGTCGAGGGGATGGCCGCTTCGACCAGAGACGTGGCAGCATGATTTTGTTGGGGATTCGACTCCCAAAGGTGACCCCAACAATCAAGAAATGTTGGAGGGGCCGTAAAGAAAGGCTTTATTGGCAACCAACAACTGATAATGAAGCCTTACTTTACAACTATTTATCATTGTGGGTTGACCCTTGGGGGGTTGGTTGAATTCCCTGATACATATTCTGCATTGAAGGGAGTTTGCTGCAATAAGAAACATTGGTTTGCCAAGCGAAGTTATGATTACGTCCATGCATTGGTACAGGTTTAAAGTTATAGCATTGTTTTAGTTGTGGATCAACATGCTGCGAAGAGGAAAACTACCTTGATAATTTACATTTTCTTTTGGAACAGAGTTTGAAGGACACTTGGGTTGAACTATGAAAGGAATTGCAGCTACACAGTGCCTGCAAAGTTAATATTAATCCCTGAAAGCTGTCAAGATCCCAGTTGAACATCACCTGCATTTTTTCGTGTGCTCGTGCCTGTGACTGGCCTTTTTGTTGCGTGATTCCATAGTGGTAATTTAGGCAAGGTTGAGACACCTATCATCCCCCTCAACTAACATGGCGACCATGCCATGAGTTGTGGGTTGGAAGCGGCTGAACTCCACATGGGCCATGCATCATGGTTGATAAAATCCCATCTTTCTGGGGTAAATTTGTGGTTCTGCCATGGTCAAACTGCAGTGGACATAATTATACAAGGATTTCATGATTTAATTATTTAATTATTGTCTCTTTTATTGGGGGTGGTCAGTGCCCCAATTCATGATTAATAGATAGCCAAGACATCAAGAGTCCCTCACAGCGGTTGAATGACCATACCCTCACGTTGGATCTTTCACCAGCACACTATATGTAGGTTCATTATGGTTCATTCCATGACTATTTCCCCCGTTTGATTCGTGATTTTGCAGTGCCTCATGTTTGATATATGAAGGCTCACTCACATTTTTTTGTATTTGTTGATTCAAGACTATATTCATCCAAATCATCATGTCATTATATGTCATTGACTTTTTCAGTTTACAGAAATTTCCCGTGTGTTTTCGCTGTTTTTCCCATCCTTTCCGGGAATTTTGTTGGTCTTGGAATTTAGGTCCCAACAAAAACCGCCCAGGAACGATGCTTGCAAGTTCAATCCCAGTTGGTCCGGCTGTGTGTCTCGGTGGTGGATGGACTCCATGGACTCCAAAACTGGGGGCTTTAGCAGCAGCAAAGCACCATGAAACTATCGACAATTTGTGTCAAACTCGACCTGAGTTAAGGACCTTAGAATCAAATCGACCTATGTTTTTTTGTTGTTTAATCATCGATCCACATGAAAATTGCAGACTTGTTGGAAACAAAGTGAACACTTTTATCACTTTTTGGCGGAGCTCCTTTTTCTATGAATTTCGCAGGTTTCTGCCGCAGTGACCCCAACAACCTCACCCTCCGGTCACTGGTGTCCTGAAACAAGGCCATTTTGAGTAGAGATGACAGGTAGAAGGTGGTGCCCCTCGGTTATCTGTGTTAGTGCTTTATGGTTTATGACTCATCTAACAAGCTAGTTCTCTCACCACAAGTCCAACATTCATGAAACAAATGTTCACCCAGCTTAATTGGAGATCAAAGTTTTGGGGCTGTTTGATACTTCAGTCCCTTTCGTTGTTGGTTATATCCCATTACATCAGCATGAGATCAGAGATTTTGGTGGTTATATGTGGTTCTTACCCCATTTGTTACGCAACTTCAAACAGTTCAAAGCTCCGTGAACAGCCGAACAGCCTTTCTGACATCGTTTGAGGTGCATTCCCCCGGCTGCAATTGGAATGGTCAGAGCTATTTTGGTGGCTGGTGCGAAGGTGGATATGGTGGATTCTGATGGGTGGGGATGCTGGTTTAGAATCTTTTAGAAATATAGGACAAACATGGGAGGAACTGCACCCAGTAAACAACATAGCTATGAAAAATGCCCATTTAGTTCGATGATGTACTTATTCAGAACGATGATTTTCCATAGCTATGTTAGTGTATTGGAGGGTCAACTAATGAATGATTTGGAAAGACTGAGATAGCGTTGCAAGCAGTCGTTTTTTGATTTTTTTGGACCGGGAGATAGAACACATTTTTCGACTCGAATTATTTACTATCAGTAACATTGAGATTTATGTTATATCAATTTGAATTAAACATGGGCTTGGCCCAAACTACAAATCACCGGCTAGCTGTTCACCGTCGATCTCCAAGTTTGGTGGAATAAGCTACGCCAGAAATTGGGGTACCCAAGCGTGACCCAAACCCCAAATGATGGGGCAGGACCGACAACATGGGATGTCTTCCAATTTTGGTCCAATCTGAGTTGCGTTTTCAAAGAGACATCAGATAGCTAGTGGGGATGGAGAGGGGTATGGATCAATGTCGATCCTGAATTTGGAAGCTTTTTGAAGGGTTTCAGATTCACAGGAATATCAGGAATGACATCTGAGTGTTTTGGCTCAAAGCTAGACAGCTAGACTGCTAGACCACCGCCAGTTTGAAAAACCCTGTTAGCAACTGGGCTGCACAGCAGGTGAAATGCCTAAATTTGTAAAGGTTCAAAGATGTTGATGATTTAATTTCAACACAGGTCAATGGTGGAGTTTTTGTTTAAAAAAAACTCCTGGTAAACCCATAGCTATGGAAAATCACCATCTTTCATAGGATTTCATAGGTAAATCAACTATAAATGGGCAATTTTCAATAGCTATGTTAAATTACCAGAGGGTAACTCCTGGTATCATGAATTTCAGAGGACTACCTTTTCAAGCTTTTTCATATCATGGCACAGCTTTGCGAATGGATTGCCTCGTCAACCCAGGGATGGAAAAAGGCACACATATTCCTATAGATTCAAAGAGATCCGATGAGACTTAGACTCGAATTTGAGTCAGAGTGGTTCAGAAGCTGAATAGGATAACCATGCGTGACATTTGATCATAGTTCATATGCGCTTGGGACGTGTCTTTTCCACGTTTTCCTCGACCTGGGAACTTATTAAGAGAAATCAACTAAACATATGAACTAGATTGAACAAGGTACAGTATATACATGCTTCTTTATCTGCTGGCCCCTGACAATCTTCTGCTTTCAGAACATCAATCTTTCTCTCCCAACACATTCTAGTTCGTGAACTTTTTTGGTAAACTTGGGAGGTTTCCATGTCTCGTACTAAACAGCAGCTTGCTTTCTCTTTCTCTGCTGGATGGCCTTTACCAATCTTTCATTTGGTATTCTGCACTGAAGATTTGGGGCCCGGTGTCAACCACCCCCGCCCCACGGCCGGACCGTTCCCATCAACTCCATCTTTTTCCCCACCTGCCAGGTGAGGGTTGTTAGATTTTATGTCAGTTGCCTGGTCCTCCTCCTCCTCGTCCTCCTCCTCCTCGTCCTCCTCCTCCTCCTCCTCTCCTCTCCTCCTCCTCTCGTTGTCCTCCTCCTCTCGTTGTCCTCCTCGTCCTCCTGCTCAACTGCGACTCGCGATCCACAGTGTTCCCTGCCGGACCTCAACCACGACCATCCACGCCCAGTGTTCCCTGCCGGACCTCAACCACGAACATCCACGCCCAGTGTTCCCTGCCGGACCTCAACCACGACCACCCACGCCCAGTGTTCCCTGCCGGACCTCAACCGCGAGTATCCACGCCCAGTGTTCCCTGCCGGACCTCAACCGCGAGTATCCACGCCAAGTGTTCCCTGCCGGGCCTCATGTAGGAAGATAAAATGTCAGATAGAGTGCCAGAAGATTTGCCAGGTAGAATGCCAGAAAATATGCCAGAAGATATGCCAGATAGATATGCCAGAAGATATTCCAGAAGATATGCCAGATAGAATGCCAGATAGAATGCCAGATAGAATGCCAGAAGATATGTCAGAATATATGCCAGAAGATATGCAAGATAGAATGCCAGATAGAATGCCAGAAGATATGTCAGATAGAATGCCAGAAGATATGCCAGATAGAATGCCAGAAGATTTGCCAGATAGAATGCCAGAAGATATGCCAGAAGATATGCCAGATAGAATGTCAAATAGAATGTCAGAAGATATGTCAGATAGAATGCCAGAAGATGTGCCAGTAAGAACATGTATAAATGTCATGGTGGGGATCACACGAAGTAAAGTAATTTTCATTCAAAAACCATCCGGAGTTTTTCCTGAAACAAAACCCCCAATGGGAGTACCGAAATTCCTGTTTTGTTTTCATCCTCAGGATATGTTACCAGGGTCCCAGATGAAAACATGTAGACCTTCGCCCTACGCAGCCAGGTCATGGCTCCCATGGTTTTCCTCTTGTCGCTGCTGTGGACCGCCTCTGCCGTCCGTCCGGCCGTGGAAAGCCTGGGACCTTTGCACCAAGCGGCCGCCAAGGGACAGGCGACGGCCATCGAGGTGTTGGTGGAAGATGGAGAGGATGTGAACGGGAAGCTCGGTGGTTGAGGTATGTTGAGGTGAATATTGCTGAAGACTATAGTTAAGGGACGCTGTTTCATGCTGTTTCTGGTTCAGAAGTCATGTTAAGTCATGTCTTTTTTGATTTATGTTGATTTTCGATCAAGTTCAAACCCAACCATCGATTTTTTTGGGGGCTCTTCTTGGCCAAAGCTTCACCCCTGGCTTTCCTGCTCAGGAAAGACAGCGAGGGAAGGCGTGGCTTGGGGTTACGAATTTGCCCAGAATTTTGTTTGCCAAAAAACAGAAGAACACATCCCTTTGATGAGCATATTTTCGGCTCATGTTGAGGCCCAAAGGCGCAACATATCTTGAAACTTTAAATGCTTTAAATCTCAATAAATCAGCATGGATCTCAATACATCACCATAAACCAGCATAGCTCACCATAAATCATCACAAGCCTCAACAAAACATCATAGAAATCACCAATTCATCTCAAGAGTTCCGCAGCACTGCCAGGACACCCTTGTGGCAGGCAGTGTCACATCAGCAGCTTTTGGCGACTGAGAAACTTCTGGAGCTGGGGGCGACTGACTTAGATCAGGCGGGAGGATATCGCATCGCATATTGCGTGGCATCGTCTCGCGTCGCATGGCATGGCACATACACATACACATACCAACATCCACCCACCACCCACCCATCCATCCATCCATACAGCCGCAGGAATGGATGAAGAAGACTCTCTTGGGCGTGGCATGCTATGAAGGATACCCCGTGGCCAAGTTGGTGGAAACGCTTCTTGAGCACAAGGCAGATGTCAATAAGGCTGATGGATATGGTAAAACTCCATTGTCCCTTGATGGCAATATTTAAGGAGGTTTCCTGAGTTTTTTGGGACCCCCAAATCATCCAAGCCATTGGTTATCAATGTGAAAACCAATGGTTTGGGTACCCATGTTTTAGAAAACCCTCATTTCTGTCAAGGTGCAGAACGATCCGGTTGAATATGTTGTTTTGCATTTGAAGCGCGTTGATCTTGATGGTTTTTGAGGGGGTAAAGCCATAGTAAAACCTGCAATTTTCAGGATGGTTCAACTATATATATATTATTATATATATATATATCATTATATATATGTTATATTATATTATATATATATATATTATACATATATTATGTATATTATTATATATTATATATTATATATTATATATTATATATTATATAATATATATATATATTATATATTTATGTATATATATATATTATAATTAATATATATATATATATATAGGGGTGTGTCATGGTTTGTCTGAAAATATCGTAGCCAGAAATCCATTGATCAATATCATCAAATTATCCCCATCAAAATGAAAAAAACAGGCGGTTGATTCCCCTATTTTCAGACCAAGCCAGATTTTCTGTAGAAATTTGGGTTGAGGGGAATGTTTTGTTGTGTGTTTCGGTTCAAAGTCACCAGAAACCCTTTTTTTTTTGGGTATCTCTAACGTTCTAACCAAGTTGAAGTTCTACTCATCGTCCTTGATTTGGCGTTGCGTTCAACGGAGAGACCTTTGGATACTTCACATCAGGTAAGACACACTGATATCATCGTCGAATTTCAAGATCTTAAGGCACCACCTTAATGCAGTGGTTTGTGCTTTGGTACATTTAGGTTATCGTCCCATTTTTGGGTTCCAAATGGTTCCAATCTTCACCCACACTGCTTAACACCAACCTGCAAAGCCACCCTTGCGCGCAATTTCAACAAGGGCGGAGTTTCATCATGGTTCATCCAGAAAAAATGGGGCGCAGCTCTGAAACTGATCACTGATTTCAAACTTTGGAAACAACTCCATTCCTTTTTTTGGAGGTTTCCTAAGTCATGGGGGTACCCCAAATATCCCCAAATCATCCAAGTCAATTTGACCATGACTTAGTATTGAAATCCATGGTGACTTGGGGATCCTCCATTTTGAGAACCAACCATGGACTTCTTCCATGTCACATCAGTAAGATCCAGGCTTTTCCACGATTTTCCCTTATCCTGGACGAATGTTTTGCATGGGAGATAGGCTATAGAGAAACCAGATAGAAACGACAACCCCAACCAACAGACCCTGAGAATTGCCCTTTTGAAGAGAAAGGTGTTGTGTTGCAACCACTCATTGCAGTGTTGGGCTGCTATTTGTTTTCTTGTGATCGTTTTTGTCCGTTTTTTTGATGTTTTTTTTACAAAACTGGTTTGGACATGAATTTTTATGTATTTTCTCGGAAACCCATCATGAGTCAGCCATCTGAGGTCCTACGCCAAAAGTCGTGGAGCGTACCAAATCGAAGAGGTGCTGAAGAAGTTTGGCGCCAAATAGCAGCGAAAACCGATTTGGCGCATTGTTGGCCTTTCAGGCCTCGGAATTTCCAAAAAACATGGACTTTTTGGTATGGATAACATAGGAAAATATGTGGGTAACATAGGAAACATACCATTTGGAATCATGATCTTTCCTAGATTTAATCTTCCGGTAGTTGCCATTTTGGACATATCGTTGGAAATACTCAAAATTGTTGGTAACATATGAAACTGGTTGGTGGTTTGGAACATTTTTTCCATATATTGGGAATAATGATCCCAATTGACTTTCATATTTTTTACAGGAGTTGAAACCACCAACCAGATAAAGAAACCTTATTTTACAACGATTTATCATTGGGGGTTGACCCTTCAAAGGTTGGTAATTCCCTGATACATATTCTGGAAAAACATAGATGGTTTACCGTTCTTAATAGCATGGTGATTTCCATGGCCATGTTACAGTAAATAACCAAAATAACCGGATGGTAACATGGTTATTCATTAATTGTTTTTACTAATATCATAGAATTGGATGATGGGAAAATTGAAACCGGAAAGCCCATCAAATTTGATGGTTAAAACCATGGTTTCCTGTGGATTTTCCCTTGAACCAATCCATTGACCTAAGATAATTAATCATTAACCATCATTAATCACCATTAATCACCATTAATCACCATTAATCACCATTAATCACCATTAATCACCATTAATCACCATTAAATAGATAATAGGGTTCTCCCCGTTTTGAGACAACGCCGGCGTCACATTGTGGACCTCCCTGGAGGCATCGACTCATCGACCACTGAAGGGCCTGGCCTGGCCGTTGGCCCGAGAAAAATGCCGCGGCGTCATTGGTTTGCTGAGGGCCATGATCTTAATACATATATATATATACGTATATATATATAACTATATATATATCTCTATAATATATATAAATACAAATATGAATATAAATATAACTATATATAAATATATAAACACAATATATATTTATATATATGATATATATGTATATATATTGTTGCATATATTTAAATATATGATATATATGTATATACTGTATCTCATCTTATGTTCATGTATTTTCGCTCTTCTACAGGATTTTTGTATATTTTTGTAAGTGTATACTTTTGTGACTTCACAGTCACGCAACATGTATTTCCATAAATGCCCCAGCAACCCCTATTTTAGGCGCGATTCTAGTCCTGTGAGATCACTGTCAAAGTATCAAACAATTACTACATACCATCTGGTTATTTAACATAGCTATGGAAAATCCCTTATAAATGGAGGTTTTACCGGGAAAATCATCTATAAATGGGCCATTTTCCATAGCTAATTATGTTAAATAACCAGATGGTAGTATTTCTGTAATGTGGGAAACCCAAAATAACACGTACCTACCATTTGCAGATGGTTTCTACTGAGAAATTGTTATGGTGACTTGGGGATGATGGCAGTAGGATTGAATAGGATTTTCATGGAATTTACCATCTGGTGATTGAACTTAGCCATGGCAAAGGGTCCACATTATCGATGAGTTGCTGTAGCTACATTTACCGATATTTACATCTGATTCCACTGGGTTTCAAGCATTTTGAAGGCCGCACTACGTCTAGCTGCACCGCCAGGTGGACCTAGGTGTGTCTATCTGCCCAGCCAAGCGATTTGTCTGGGAGTCAATGCGGGCTGCTACTGGCAAGCGGTGCCTGGGTCCGTGGGTTTTGGTGGGTTGTGATTTGGTGCGGATGCTTTTTTGGTTGGTAAAATTGGAGATTTGGGGAATATCGAGGTTTACATCCAGTCATGGGGGTACTCCAATAGCTGGATGGTGTGCGTAATGATCCTTTAAGAAATCATCTATTTGGGGGGACCCCGAATTTAGGAAACCTCCATATGTGGTTAGGCCATGAATTGGGGGCGCATCCCAATTAGTATGTGATGAACAAATATGAATCATCATGAAAGGTCCATCCAGTCCATCAGTCCCCGTTTGGGTCCTTCGCCCTGGCGGAAAGTGATCAATTCATCCGTTGATGGTTTCAATGGACTGAAGGCTTCGAAGTTGGATGAGGAATTGCAGTTAAAGATGGTGTGGGTAGATTCAATGTGGTGATCATAAACGTTTCAATGGACCACATGCTTCGAAGTGTTTCAATCCTTTTGTATATATTCGAATAGAGACGGTAGATTCCCACACAAAATACCATAGACGGCCAACGATACGATATAGAATTAATAATGTTAAATCATCTCGAAACCACCATGAACAAATTGAAAGATACGGTAAAGTTCAGAAATCTATGTGCGACATTGTGCAACCAGGAACCACGGGGAAATTTACCACTCAACCATCCAACAACATAACTTGAGATTGCAACTATAGCAAGCAAGCTATTTTCAAACTGGAATTGAAGCCGCAAGTAATCCAATTCCATAGAATTCCATATTACCCCACTGGCCTCTCAATCACTATGGACAATATCAGTCCAATCTGCAACATGCGGCGATGTTTCCATGAAATCTGGCTTAACACATCAAGCATATACAAATATATATATATATATATATGAAGCTTATGAATGTTTGGGTTCATATATTACCAACAACATATAAAAAACCTGGGTAAAAAAATGGTTGATGTTCAACTATCTCATCATATGAACATCATGGCAACACCCAAACATGATTGGCGCCCATCCCTCAACAGCATTCACCCGACCATGGACCATCTAAATGCCATTCACCATGGCAACCAGTCGCCATGGTGCCAACATGGTTAATCATTGATGGTTAGTATATTTTTTTTCTGGTTGGTGGTGACTGGAACATGAATTTTATGGATTCCATAATACAAAGGGATAACCCTTCCCATTGACGAACTCATATTTTTCAAGATGGTTACTGCACCACCAACCAGTTTTTTTTTATTAGACAACTGGATTCCTGTAACATAGTCAGCCAATGAGATAACTAGCAATCAGCATAAGGGCCACCAAACAACAAGTTGGGACATGAAGTTGGTTATTTGACATTGAGACCATCACCAAACACCAGGCCACCATCCCATTTCTCATCAGTTTGATCATTTCAGCATCTATGGCTATTGAACAATTATATATAACTTATAACTGATAATCTATAATTGATAACCATCTCATTTGTCTATAACTGATAATCTATAATTTTCACAATCCATAGTTAACCATCAAGCCAACTCATCATTTTAGATGATCAATTGTAGATAGTCAACCATATGGTGGATGGTTGCGAAATCCTAACCACCAGTTGATAGGTGGTGGTGCAAATGCCATTATAATCCCATGATCTACAGTGTTTTATAGGAATCCCAATAGTTATCAACGCAAAAAAACAAAAGTCGGAATCATCCCCAATACTGGCAATTCACCATTTGTTTCACCGTTCTTTCGATTATATATATAAACATAGTTTGTTTACCATTTTTTTACATAACCATTGTTCACCTATATTTGACAGTAAAAAAAGTTTTTAAAAAAATGGTGAATTAACCTATAATTAACAGATAAATTACTGTAACAGCTAATTGCCTATACTGGTTGGTGGTTTGGAACATTTTTTATTTTTCCATTCAGTTGGGAATGTCATCATCCCAACTGACTTTCACTCATATTTTTCAGAGGGGTAGGTATACCACCAACCAGTATAGTTCACTCCAGGCCACAGCTCCATTGAACTGGGCTGAAGGAGATGCTGAAGCCGCGCACGCGGCGCAGGCGAACTTGTCCGTGGGGTTTGGGAAAGGGAACCGAAGAACTGGGAAAATGGGTCATTTTTTTATAGATGATGAATTGATGTAACAACTATCGAGGGGTTGAAAAGGGCCTACTCCCAATCCTATGGCTTAGCATAATCCTACATAAAAAATGATGGTTGATGATGGTTAATGATGGTTAATATTGGTTAATATTGGTTAATAATGGATGACTAATGATGATTAATGATGATTAATGTGGTTAAAACAATGCCATAAACCACCCATGACTGGGAATGGTAGCCATACAACCTATAAAAATGGTGATGACTGGGGTATGGTTTATGACATTGTTTTAACCACATGAAATGCAACAACTGTCTTAGATGTTTTTTTTTAACGTTTGTTCTCAATGTGTTTTTTCCTGAAAAGATTAATTGTAGATGGGAAAATCGAGTGTCCTTTCGCCACGCATTCGCCCCCTTGTACGTGGAGTGTTTGGCAGCCACCTTGATAACATGAAAAAAAAGGCTTTCTCGTGATGACAATAATGATTGTCAAGAAAAGGGATAATAAACTGATGGACTGATGATGGAAAAGTGTGAACTTAGGTAACAATCATCAGTTCAAAAATGTGATAAATCATGATGAAACCACACAAAGATGGTGAAACTTGTTTTTTTACTTTGTAGGTTCGCCTCGAAAAGGGGAATTTTTGTTTCACATCAGTGATAAACTTTCCGATGGCTTTCAGGGAAAAGAAAGATAGAAAATTAGACCACCAAGTCACCAAGTCTTTTGCTTTTTGCATCATGTGATCTGACCTGTGGAAAATGGTGACATATGGTGACTTTAGGATCATAGTGATTTTACCAAGCAAAAACAAGGTGTTTTGCTAATCCAACATAATCTCAAAAATGGAGGCTTTTGCCAACCAAACCAAGTGACATTTTCACCACCTTCCAGATGTTCATCCCATGGGTTGTTTCCAGAGATCAGGAGTTTGCAGTTGGGTCAGTTGGGCCTTCCCAATGTTTCAATGTTTTTCTGATTGGTGGTGACTGGAACAGGTGGTTAATAGTGGTTAATAGTGGGTTTTCTGGTTGGTGGTGACTGGAACATTTGGATTATTTTTCCATTCAGTTGGGAATGTCATCATCCCAACTGACTTTCACTCAATGATTTTTTTCAGAGGGGTAGGGCGAAAAACCACCCACCAGCAATGTGCTCCTCATGTCATGTCCCATATTTTTGGATGAACCCATGACTCCTGGTAAACTTTTGCACATCTGACTGGGGGTTTTCCAAATCCATCGCTTCCCCAAATCCATCGCTTCCCCCATGAAGAGTGACCAAATTCGGATAATTTTTGATTTCCACCAGTTCGAGAAGCCCAAGTATATCTCTCTGCCTTTTCATGCTCAGTATCTCTTTTTATCCCACAGATGTTTTTCCGGGGTAGTCCAAATCTATGAACATCGCCCAACAAAAAACAGAAGACATTGGACAAAATCCCAGCCGTTTTTTTTTTTTAATCTCCAGAAATCTGCTGAGTTTCTTTGCTGTGAACTTTTTGATCGTCCCCAGTAGCCATCTACATAAACATCAAAAACACAGTCCAGAAAAGACAACTCATACTTGGTGGCTCATCCCACGAATCGTAAGTGGGTTAGTTCACCCCAGTTATAAGTGGATTAACCCGCTCCTTATCCCATGTAAATCACTGAGCCACCAAGTATCACGGGAAGAAAAAACAATTCTCAATTTCAATGATATCTGGTTGCTCCCCCAATTTGGTTGCTCTCCCCATCGGAGAAATTGATTCGGAACGCTGAGTTACTCAATACGCCAAAGCATTGATGAAACAACATATCAGAAAAATCAGTTATTACTTGTAGATGAATGTAGATAGATTTAACCTTGCATTTAGGTTAGTCTATATGTATATATATATATATTATATTTATATATATTGAAAAAAACAAACATATCAGGTATTTGTACCATCTATTATCATCTCTCTACATTCATGAAACCAATCATATTATTTTTAATATACCACATAAGGTACACCATCTATTACCATCCATCTATGATAGATGTTAGTAGATAGTAATGGCAATAAATGGCGATATATGGCAATAGATGGTAGTAGATGGTAATAGATGGTAATAATTGGTAACATATCAGCGAAATGAATATAATAAGTATAGCATATATGACTTTTTCTATTGCAGTATTACTATCATCAAAAATATGTCTTATAATATTGGGAATCTATAGTATTACCATTGGGCATATTCATATATGCATATATACAGTAAATATATATTAATTTACCCTAGTACTATATCTTATTGGGAATAGCAGGTGGCAGCGGCTGCTTGGAGCGCGGCTGCCTCGGCTGCGCAAGCGGCGCGGGAGAACTCCAATTGCTTCGGGGATGGTGCGGCCCCAACGGGGCACAGGATTTCCATGGCGGATTTAGGTGGATTTTCCATGGGATTTAACTTAACATATGGCCATCAACAGTGAGATTTTTCAGATTTGAATGGGATTTCACAATCAACAGGGATCTTTTGTGGGATTTTCATGGGATTGTTTTAACTGGGATTTTTTCTGGTGATTCATGGGGATTGACGCAACCAGTTTTTGCGGATATCAATGTATATTACCCTCTAGTAAACTAAGACAACTATGAAAAATCACCATGTTTACGAGGTAAATCAACCATAATTTGCCATTTTCAATAGCTATGTTAGTTCACCAGAGCGTATAAAATGAGAATTTTCCATATAACAATTATTTTTAAACATGATTTCAAAGATCTTGCCTGTTTTTTTGGGGTGAAATATCCTATTTGATTATTAAATATTATTAGACCATAGGTTGAGATATATAGTGACACCATTTCTTTTTTTAAAAATGTGTTTTGTTGTTTGTCGAGTTTTAAGGGAGGTCTAGTGAGTTCGATGTTTTCAACTGCAACTATTTATTGATTCTAGCCATATTTGCGTGGAATGTCTTTCAAGCCTTTTAATGTTCATGCCATATTGATGAGATGATGCTTTAGAATGACAAGTGACAAGCGCTGCCGCAGCCGCAAATCCAAGGCTGGTTCCAGTGGATAGTTATCATTTTTCCATATTTTGCCTTGTAAAATAGCTACCCTCTGGTAAGCTAACATAAGGAGTGGATAGCCATATCTGGTTGGTGGTGACTGGAACATTTGGATTATTTTTCCATAATATATTGGGAACAATAATCCCAACTGACTTTCTCATATTTTTCAGAGGGGTTGAAACCACCAACCAGATTAATAAGTATTAACAATTTCTAACCATTGATACACATACGTACAATATCTAATATATCATATCGTATGGTTAATGGTCACTATTAATATTACATGTATGAACCATGATTAACAATTTATTACCATTCATCACCATTATTCATCATTCAAAACCATGAAATCATACCATGAAATTACCACTCAATGACCACCAAAATCACCATGTATTACTAAATTAATCATCATTAATCATCATTGGTAGCCATTAAGAAAACCATGATTAACCACTATTAACCATGAATTTAATGACCATTATTGTCCATGTATCACCATTAATCACCATTACCCTCTGGTTATTTAACATAGCCATGGGAAATGGCCCATAGAAATAGATGGTTTTTACCGTTCTTAAAAAGGGTGATCTTCCATGGCTATGTTAGTCATAACCAGATGGTAATCACCAATTTTTCAACATTCATATCATCCCCCAGTGGGATCCAGACTATTGGAGGCCTTTGTCATAAAACGCCAGGTTCGTTGTCGCAGAACCTGGGATGTCCTTACCACGTCTTGTGGGGCACCTGTGTCGCTAGTTCTGGAGTTGATGGGATTGATTGAAAATGATGGTGAAAATGGGGGAATTCAATTGGGATTTATCGTAATAGCTTCCAATTTTTTAGATAGCTATGGCAAAAAGATGACTCTAGATGACCCATGAAAGTAGATGATTTACAAGATGGCATTTTCTTGTCAAATGGGGGGTTTTCGCTGACTGTCAAATTACCAGAGGGTATAAAAATCTTCTTGGTGCTAACCCCCAGTCATGAATAGTCAGGGAGTGGCAGCAAATCTGGGGTGAATACTTGTGTACTTATGTAGATATGACAGTTGGTAAGTGGTTCACAACTTGAAATGAACACAAGTTAAGCATGGTCGCACAAACATATGGCTTAGTTGTTCATCGTTTACTAAATGGGATGTGCAAGTAATCAAAGATGGTGTTGGAAAACCTGTCAAAAAATGAGAACATGGGTCAAACACATGGGCAAACACGAGTCATTTTCCATTGCCAGCTTTGGTTCCTGAGTAGTTCATGTCCAATCACTGGAACATCCCATAGGCCCCCCCCACGCTCAAGAGATGTAGAATAAGGGATAGTGTTGTTCTTGTTCTTTTGGAATGTTTTGCGATGTGTGTTTCACCACAAGACACATCATAGATGTCCTTTTTTCATTGGTTGGTTGATTAATAGAGGGGGTTCTTCAGGTTTACCCCTTTAACAACAGGTTTCTTCATTATGATAGATGGGTTTTTCCATGTTTTTCGCAGCTCCCGGCCCCTTCCTTTTTTACCAAAAGGACCAGCTTTGGGACATCCTCAAAGCTGGTGAAGCAGCACCATTTTGCCTTGTTGATCCGCCTTTTGTCCACCTGCGTGGTCGACAGATGGAGTCCATAAAACGCTTACGCATCGTGGTTGGGATGGTCAATATGTCCATAAAACCATCGTGGTTAAAAAATGGGGATGTTGGGTGTCAAAAACCATGGTTGTTTCAATACTCAAACGGTCGTTCATGACTTGGATGATTTGGGGGTACCCGGCCTGGTAAACGTTTACATAACTATGGAAAACCACCATTTTAAATAGGTAAATCAACTATTTCTATGGTCATGGCTTCAATAGCAAACTGTTAACGTTTACCAGGCCGGGTACCCCCATGACTTTGGAAATGTGGTTAATAGTACCTCAGGCCCCTCCACATACCGCATTGGACCAATGTCACGCGGTTAGACCATGTCTGAGACCATGACCATAAACCAAGATTATTAACCATTGTTAACCATTGATACACACATAAGTTATCATATATCATGTCTTGGGATTAAGAATCAATATTCGTATTATATATCTATGACCATGATTGTGTCCATTTATTGCCATTAATCACCATTGATCACATAATAAATCACCAATGCTAGCCATTTAAATCACCATTGTGAACAATCATATCAATATCATATCATTATTAACCATTATAATCCATTATTAACACCATTGATTATTTTCCATTTAAACAACCATTCATATCAGATCATATCCCAGTGGGGTCCACTGATTGTCGCTGGCGAGGTTGTGACTGCGGGCTGCAACTGGCATGGAGAAACTTGGTGGTGAATAACACCAAGTGTTCAGTGGGTGAATTGGATTTGTGGTGGTTTATGCTAGATATATCTAGATATATGGGGAATTAGTGGTGATTTAGGTAAAACAATCATAGATCTAACTAGGTCAACATGCTTTATGGTAGATATATGGGGGGGTTCCATAGTCATGGGGGTACCCCAATAGCTGGTTTAGAATTGAACGTCCTATTAATTTGGATGATTTGGAGGTACCCCTAGGAAACCCCCATATGGTGAAGTAGTGGATCTATGGTAGATATCTCGTAGTTGCTGGGGTTTAGAAACCCTCAGGTTATTTGTCACATATTCATGGGGAATGACCCATTTATAGATGGTTTGCAAAGTTTACCGTTCTTGAAAATTGTGATTTTCCATGGCTATGTTAAATAACCAGATGGTAAACCAAACATTTATTTCAACCAACTATAAGCAACTTGTTGAAAGTACTTCAACTTTTTTCCTATAACGTAGCTGTCTTCAAAGTGGCTGGTCAGGTCTAGTCTTGTCGATCTATGGGACCCTGCTGGAGCCTGTGCACCCATGGCCAAAAGTCTGATAGTTAGTGGCTTGTATAAATGTCCTGGTTCAGGGAACTAACTGCAAAAACGCACCGAAAAAACGTCACTGGAGTGGAGTCTGGCCTGAAACATGTCGCCGATTTCGATCCCTCTATTGATGGGATGTTTGCCCATGCAGGGATGGTAAGCCCAATGATTTTTGAGGAAGGTAGAAGCCACCAACTTCATTTGGCCAAGGAAAGTGCCCTGGGTGGCTGGTGCACCGGTGGTACGCAATGCACCTATCAACCAGTGCCAACTGGTTGCATGGCCACTCGGCAGAATGAAAACTGCAGGGAAAAAACCATGGAAAAAAGCGATCATGTTTTTGCCCAAGCGACCAAGCGATACATATCATCATTTCATACAATGTGAGGCCCCCAAGATATCGTTCAGTTGGTTTATAACATTTTATAACTCCAATTTCACTATGGTGTATGGTACTTATAACTATAGTTACTGGGGCTTATAAACCAACGTTCACATCACTGGGGGAGGCCACATTGTATGGATTTCACCTGGATTTGACCGTGAAATGACCGTTTTATGCATCGCAGGTGACCCCTGGCTGCCGATGGCAACCGGCCACGGCACCCCTGATGGTGCCCATGTGAGGTAGCGAAATTCTGCACGGGTGGTCTGATAGCATGGGCTGTCCACCCTGAACATCGTGGGGAAAATATGATCTGGTTGGTGCTGACTGGAACATGGCTTCTATTTTTCCATCTATTGGGAATAATAATCCCAACTGACGAACTCATATTTTTCAGAGGGGTAGGTATACCACCAACCGGTGATGATTGATGGGGTCGCCTATTTTCAAAGCCATCTTCCAAGGAAGAACATGGGGAGTTGGAGCTGCTGAGATTACGAAGTGAGCTTCACCACATGATAGCCAAGGAAAAACATGCGTCAATAGATTTTAAGAGACTTTTTTTGGTGCGAAGATGGTCTTGACCATCTGAATCAAGCGAAATACGGGTTGGATTTCACCTGGCTAAGTGGGCTTGTCACAAGTTGTCTCCATGAAACAGTCTCAAAACATGGCTGGTTGGTGGTTTGGAACATGAATGTCATTTTCCCCAATAGTTGGGATGATGATCCAATCTGACGAACTCCATCATTTTTCGGGGGGTTGGTTGAAACCACCAACCAGATGGGCATGAACCAATGATGGATCTGGGTTGCACGGGTTGAACCCATGAATCTTGATGTGGAAAAAGAAACCTCCGCGCATTCCAAGGGGTTTTTCCATGGTTTTTCCATGTCCTGAAGATTGCGGAGACCGGCTGAGTTTGGGAGAACATCACCAGCTTGTTGTGATATTGGTGAACCAAAAGTGAGTCTTCACCATGGATTGCCCATGGATTGCCATTGATAGATGTTGATTCACATTGATCTATACACCTCTGATCTTTTACATAGCTATGTTTTGATGATGAAGCGTGCTCTTCGACGCAGGTGCAAAAAGAAGACAGCGAAGATCTTTTGGGCGATAGCCGCAGCGACTGACCAGCTGCTGAGTGATTTCTCTTGGTGCCATGGAGAAACCGTTAGAGGCGAAGCCAAAAACGGGGTCCCATGTGGATCTCATGAGTAGTGAACCAAAAGTACTCATCGCTTGATGATTTGAGATATGTTTTTGGGGCTTGGTTGCTTTTGACTATATATTTGCTGTAGATTATAGATGGTATGGTTTTTTCTCTTCGGGGTGAAGTGTTCACAAGTTTGGGACCCCGTTTCAATGAGTCTCTTGAAACCAGAGGTTTAAGATTTTGAAGGACATGTGGAGGTTTCCTGAAATAGGGGTATCCCCATATCATCCATTTTTTTTTGTTTTTTTCTCCCTTTGTAAACCATCCAGCTATTGGGGTGCCCCCATGACTATGGAACCCCCAACAGTGGCAACCCAAAGTGGTCAGCCATCGATGGTCAGCTCTTGAAAACAGCAGCTGCGCCAGCTGGGATGGACTGCCCCGACTCCCGATGATTCTTAAAGGGTTGCCAAGTGTACCCTCTGGTAATGACTAACAGTTTGCTATTGAAAATGGCCATAGAAATAGTGGATTTTCCCATGAAAAATGGGTGGATTTTCAATAGCTATGTAAACGTTTACCAGAGGGTAAACACTTCATGTGAATCGGCGAGTCCATCATCCTTCTCTGTTTCGAAAGGGATGTGGATGTGAAGTTTCTCAGCGGCCATCTCCGGGGTCTTGTGTCGTTGCTGTTTTACAGTTTCCCCCAACGTCGTTGCTGAAACCCAAAAGTGAAAGATGATCAAAAAGCAACGGCGCTACGGACAAAATCTGACTTCAGCCCATGTGTGTTGCCCAATGCTAAGACATACATGATTCGCAGCTTTTGCTCCGGCGCCACAGAAGCTTTAAGCCACATCAGTAGCTGAGAAATATTTCTGATGGCCAAGCATCAACTATGCTCTAGTGGTTGATAGGGTTCCCATGACGGAAAGCCTCAAACGTCTAAAACCTGGCATTTGAGTGCTTGAAAAACCCTGTCAAAACATCATTCCCGAGTTTTTTTTGTTGCTTAAAATGCGTTTCTTACATTTCTGAAACCCCCAGTTCGAAATCACTTTCTCCGACCATAGCCATAGAGTCCACCCCCACCCCCAACCGAATCCCCCAAGCGTGGCTTTCGCCCCGATGCACAATGGTGGGCCGTTTCGAGAGCGCCGAGTTGAAACGTGATGCCTTGGCTCATGAGGAGCGCTGGGTTCTGCAAGGGATCGGAGGCAGCCGACAGCCTAGCAACCCATAGCAGCTGTTTTTTTCCATTACCCTCTGGTAATGACTAACATAGCTATTAAAAATGGCCATTTATAGTGAGTTTTCCCATTGAAAATGGTGATTTTCCATAGTTATGTTAGTTTACCAGAGGGTAAGTGATAGTGATAAATGAGTTTTTTTCTATTTTTTTTTTGGCTTTTTGGGGCTTGCGATAGACATATGGAGTTTCTCCATGGGTGTAGATATGATTATCAAACATCCAAATTTCCAGGGTTTACCAGTTTCTGGTGAAATACCACATGATGCAAAGCCCTGTTCTAACTATGGCAACGCTTGGGGATATGGAAGAAGCCCATTTTTTTGTGTCTGACCATCCCCATAAGACCCACCAAAAAAGGTGGATTTTCATAGGAAATGTCCTAAAAATCGGCCAATCCCCAATAGCTGGATCCCAAAATCTGATTGATAACACATGACTGGGATACCCCCATGACGTAGGAAACGTAGGAAACCTCCACAATGTGATAATTCTCCAGATTCTTAGTCTTCTTGGGGTTCTATAATAGGGGACGGTCGACAGCTGAGTCTGATTTTTTCGGGCTGCAAGAATCTGGCTCCATTTCTGGATGATTTTCCATTTTGAAATGGTACAAACATTAATTTTCAACTGCCATGTTTGATGACTGGAGGGTCAGATCATTTCGCAAGATATCTGGAACCTCAATTGGCAAGAATCAACCTTTAGAAGCCAGTTCTTTCCACGTGCACAGCAAGGGCATCGTGCGCTAGCAATACGATGGCTTCAAATTGAGGGCCAAGACATATCTGGCTGTTTTAATCCTCACTGATTCCCCACTTTTTTTGTTTTTTTTGGATCAATATACCCTCTGGTAATTTATTACGGTTTGCTACTGAAAATGGCCCAGTCGAAATAGTTGATTTACCATGATTTACCTATTAAAGATGGTGATTTTCCATATAAAGCACCATTTTCCCACGGTTTTCCCTTGATTTACCTATTAAAAATGGTGATTTTCCGTGGCTTTCTTTAAACGTTGACCAGGCCGGGTAGACAGGTGATGACTTCCAGGCGCCTAAATTTTCAGGACTTCCACCATCTTCACAAAACCCCCAGTTCGAAGGGGGCCGTTTCGGACAGCTTGCCATTTGAAACCATCAACATATATGAAATGACAATAGCTATATATACCCCCTCTGGTAATGACTAACATAGCTATTGAAAATGGCCATAGAAATAGTGGATTTACCCATAAAAATAGGGATTTTCCATAGCTATGTTAGTTTACCAGAGGGTATATATATATAATATATATATATATATATTTAATTTATTATATATATATATACGGTTGGGTCATGTCATATATATATATATAAATCCCATTTTCCGATATCTGGATGTGGGGCTTCCGATATCTTTGATATTTATGATGATATGTATGAAACCCGTTGGCTTTCTATGTTTTTATCATACCCTCTGGTAAATTAACAGAACCATGGAACACCATTTCAATAGCAAAATTCACCATCGACGGGCCATCTGTACCATAGCTATGTAACAAATGACCAGAGGGTAATCAACTTGAAAGAAACACGGTTTTTAAAACTGTTGGTGATTTTTCCATTATCAAGCATTATTAACAACTATAAACCATTATTATCCATTAATAGCCACTAAAAAAATGGGCTAAGCACCACGATTATCACTGTTGTTCCAGGTTTCGCCGTTGTCCGCATTTCTTGACACACCAAAATCTGGTTGCGACGAAGAATTCAGCAACTCCAATAGCTATGTTGATTTCTGCATTGATACACAGCTCAAAATCTCTAAGACCCTATTTGCCCCACTGCAGCCCCATTAAAATTCGTCACTTGACATCAGAAAATGTCAGCCAAAGGACCACCATTATTGGCTCAACTTCCACATCTCCCATCTTTGACTCACAGACATGGCACATGGCAGCACCCATGGCGCACAAATCTTGGGAATTTCCTCCTGGCTTGACAAGCAATTTTCTAAGCAACGCCATGACGTTCTGCGAAGAGCTGCAGATTATGCCCGATGAGATATCCGAAAATCCCACAAGGTTACTAAAGAGCGGCACAGCCCGGCAGTACCTTGGTTGGAAAAGGAGATTTTGGGAAGTCGTGCTGGAAAACACCTGGAAAAGAAGCGAGAAATCAGCAAAATTGGGGACTTCACGGACAAGGGGAAATGTGGTAAATGAACAAATCGGGATTCAGCATCAAGAATGTGTTTTTTCTCATGATTTTCCTACCATGAAAAAACATGGTACATTTACCAAGAAACATGGCGAAGGATGACACCTGGACGACAGGGTCGCTGCTAGATGATGTGTCTTGTCTACTTAGTGACTTTCCATAATATACATACAATTAAGTGCATACATACTGTCTACGATGTCTAGGTATTTGTATCTGCATATCTGTTTGTGTTGTGTATATATATATATATGTATATGTAGATATCCATCCCATCTATCTGTCTGTCTGTCTGTCCGTCCGTCCGTCCATCCATCCATCCATCGATCCATCGATCCATCGATCTATCGATCGATTTATCTATCGATCTATCGATGTATCGATGGATCAATGCATCGATGTATCTATCTATCTATCTACCTATCTATCTATCTATCTACCTATCTATCCATCTATCTATCTACCTATCTATCTATCTATCTACCTATCTATCTATCTATCTACCTATCTATCTATCTATCTATCTATCTATCTATCCATCCAAGTTTTGGGCCCAAGCAAGCAAGCAAGCAAGCAAGCAAGCAAGCAAGCAAGCAAGCAAGCAAGCAAGCAAGCAAGCAAGCAACCAACCAACATACCAACGAATCAACATACCAACATGCCAACATACCAACATACCAACATACCAACATATATGTATATATATACAGACATAAAGGCCTATATATCTATATATCTATTTATCTACAGATTTATATATCTATATATCTATTTATCTATAGATTTATATATCTATATATCTATATATCTATATATCTAGGTGTATATATATATATATTCATAAATTCATATCTGTGTATATATATATATTCACACATGTATATATACATGTTATGAACGTGTGTATACGTATAAGTACACGAGCATTTCTATGAATTTCAGCCCGCCCGACATGTTCGGGCAATTTCAGCAAATCCAAGGTTTGAGGATCTGGCGACGGAATTGAACATGAGAGAAATCACGCGCACACGCGCCATGGCATCCGAATTAGGGATGAACCAAGTTACCTATGAATTGACCATAGATTTTCGGGGGCGAAGATCCCAAGGCAGGGATTTTTGGAACCGAATCCCTACATCCGAAACCATGGTGGATGTGGGTGAACTCTCTGGGGACCGTGTTCGACATGATTTTGCCTCACTTCACATTGGAGAAGTTTCAGAAATCACCAAGCCATGGATAAATTGGAATCAACTCAGAAGGGTCCAACAATTTCCCCAATTTTTGGGGCTAAAATCCCATTCCCATCCCATTCCCATCCCATTACTATCCTTTATTCTCCACCCTGAAGCGCCTTTTTGCTGTATTTTTGCTGGCGAACTACCGTGTTTTTTGGTGAAACCAAGACATCCGGAACAAACTGTACTCATGATCCCGAATTTTCCCGATTTCTGTTGATTCACCAATCCAGAAACATGAAAAAAAACATGGCAAAACCAATGTTAAGATTCCATTAGCATGGCAGACTTCCATAGATATTCCATCCAAAATCTATCTGAAAATTTCATACACGTCCATAAAACATGGTAGTGGACGATTGGTTGAAGAGGAAATCTATAAAGGACACCATGGTTTATCCCTGGAAGTATGGGTTTTCTGGCGAATTTTCCTTTAAACAAACCCATTGAATAAGTGAACCTGGATTATCTTTGATCCCTCTTGGTGCTTATAACTTATATCCCATTATATCTACAGCGTGTTTTGCAACTCGCTGTAGCTAGATCACGGTGACACGGACGCAGAAGTTACGAGCTTGCGGGGTCGGTCACGTTGGTGGAAGCCTTGAAACCTGCTGGAAATTTGCAGCGCCACTTACCCTACTGGGTGGTAACAGGTGCATTGGAACAGGTGCATCAAGGTTCCGTGGCGCTGCGGCTGCGTGCATAAAAGTTTCCATGAGAAACTCCGAGTTACAAATGAAGTGAAGTCAGCTCAACCTCATATTGAGTTAGTTGCGTTGAGAAGAGGTGAGACGAGGCGAGAAGAGGAGGGTTGAAGAGGTGAGACGAATTTTGAAGAGGCGAGAAGAGTTGATCAGGGGACAAGAAGTGAGCAGAGGTGAGAAGAGTAGAGAAGAGCGTTAAGAAGAGCATTGAGAAAAGTTCAGAAAGTTGTGACAGGGTGAGGTGTGTTGAGTGAGGTGACAAGTTGAGAGGCGCTGAGAAGAGGCACGAATATTTGAGAAACGGTGAGAAGAGGTGAGCTGAGAAGATGTGAGAAGTGTTTAGAATAGTGAGAAGAGGTGAGAAGGTTTAGAGAAGTTAGAGAGGTGAGAAGGGTGGAGAGGAGCTGAAAAAAAATGCTGAGAAGAGATCACAAAAAAATAAGAATATCTCACCAAAATTAGTATTTCAGAGTATTTCAGAGTTGAGAGTTGATATTTTCACATCACTGACATCACATCACAACTCCTTATTACCTATCATAGTCATTACCCATAATATATGATAACATATGGGATTATATTTATGTTTTTTTGTTTAAATCACGGCGATGAACAATTACTATAACATTATTATCCCATCACTAACATCACATCATTATATATTATCTATATATAGTATCTATTTCTATATATATATCTATCTCTGTATATATATATATATATGTAGTATCTATTTCTATATATCTATCTCTCTCTCTATCTATCTATATATATATATACATGCACATATGATCCTAAATATAGGATATAGGACCACATCTTCCATGTTTTGTCGTTTTTCCGCCGGATATAGGTCTCCTCCGCCGCGCCGAGCCGCTGGACGCGGACTTCCTGGCCGCCACGCAACGCTTCCCCGACGAGGCGATTGGGTCGCTGCTGCTCTGGCTGCAGGCGGCCACGAATCAGTCGCCTGGGGAGGCCCGGGGGGGGGGTTGGATGGGCGGCCCGTTAGGGGGTTGGATGGGCTTGGGGTCTTTTGGCTTGGGTTTGGGCTGGAAATGAGAGAAAATCCAGGAAAACTTGGGGCTGAAGATGATTTAGAATGAGATTTATTGATGGTTTAACCTGCTGCAACCGTGTAGTTCCCAGGTTTGATGATCCCGAATGACTTTAGCATAGACGAAACCACCAATCAGTTGAGGTTTCATGTACTTTAACCAGGTATAAATATCGCAATATCAAATAGAGATCTATATAGTTTTACCGTTTTACCCAAACCTTGGATTTGCCAGAAAACGTTGTTTTTTTCACCAACCCAGAAAAATAACAATGATTGATTTTACCCCTAGGTCAATTGTGGATTACCACTACTCTGGAAAACATTGAGAGCTCAACGGGGGTTGACACAACAGAATGAGAAGGTTATTGGATAAAACACGGTTGGATTTAAGTCTAATAAGTTTAAGTAATGTTTTTAAGTTTATGTTAAATTTATTAGACTTAAGGTTAACTTAGAATACTAATAATTATATATATACATATATTGCAAGGGATTCCAATAGCCATTAATTCTTGAGGTCAATGGACACATCTAAACATACACGGGACGTTTTATGGCGATGCGATGGGAAATCTGTAGTGCAGTAACTCAATGACTTTGATTGTTGGTTGATGTTGGTGAAGAGGTTTCGTTGTAAAGAAAAAACATCAACTGTTAAACAAACATCAACTGAAATTATAATATTCAAAATGACAAAAAATGTCAGAATCACCACACATTGATTTAACCACGATGCAATCAAACTACAAGGAAAATAAATGGGATCTGGGGTTAGTACTGTGATGGCATGCATGGCTATGACGAAGCATTTCGGGGGGTGATCTAATGGTCATCTAACAGATAGGAGATGGGTCTTTTTAGCCGAACCATTGGTCGAAATTCGGGCGGATGATTATCACTAGGACCAGGAGGGTAGTGGGCTTTTGAAGGGTTTGGATCCATAGCAACGATCTGACTGAACTTAGGACCTCACAATCAGACCCACCACAATTGTATGTAGTAACTACTGGGTCAACGACCATTTCGCGGCCGTGGGAAAAATGCTCATGATGTGAATAGAAAATCAGCACGCCGCTATAGCGAAACAATGATTTTGCACATCCGGCATGTGAAAATGCATCATCGTCGTTTCAGAAAACTACTTGTTTTTTCATCATGATAATGAACATCATCTTCATCATCATCATCATCATCACCATCACCATCATCATCATCATCATCATCATCATCACCATCATCATCATCATCATCATCATCATCATCTTCATCTTCATCTTCATCTTCATCTTCATCTTCATCTTCATCATCACCATCATCAAATCGTCATCATCATCATCATCGTCATCATCATCATCATCATCATCATTATCATCATCATCACCATCATCATCATCATCATCAGCATCATCATCTTCAGCATCATCACTATCATCCCCAGGATCATATAGATCGTCAGCAGCTGCAGCGTCATCATGTGTGCCACTTACAAGGGTTAACATGCCCCACATCCAACCATGTGTGCACTTAAAGGAACGTTAGTTACTGACCCACCCCACCCACAACCCTTGTTGCCAACTTACAAGGAACGTTAAACATCGCCCCACCCCCAACCAACCCTCAGTAACGTGAATCCAACATGTGTGCAACGTACAAGGAACGTTAACATGCCCCACCCCTCCCCAACCCTTCAGTAACGTAGCATCCAACATGTGTGCAACGTACAAGGAACGTTAACATGCCCCACCCCACCCCAACCCTTCAGTAACGTAGCATCCAACATGTGTGCCACTTACAAGGAACGTTAACATGCCCCACCCCACCCCAACCCTTCAGTAACGTAGCATCCAACATGCGTGCCACTTACAAGGAACGTTAACATGCCCCACCCCACCACAACCCTTCAGTAACGTAGCATCCAACATGTGTGCCACTTACAAGGAACGTTAACATGCCCCACCCACCAAAACAACCCTTGTGCCCCTACAAGGAACGTTAACATGCCCCACCCCTCCCCAACCCTTCAGTAACGTAGCATCCAACATGTGTGCAACGTACAAGGAACGTTAACATGCCCCACCCCACCCCAACCCTTCAGTAACGTAGCATCCAACATGTGTGCCACTTACAAGGAACGTTAACATGCCCCACCCCACCCCAACCCTTCAGTAACGTAGCATCCAACATGCGTGCCACTTACAAGGAACGTTAACATGCCCCACCCCACCACAACCCTTCAGTAACGTAGCATCCAACATGTGTGCCACTTACAAGGAACGTTAACATGCCCCACCCCACCCCAACCCTTCAAAAACGTTCAAAACGCAGAAAAAAGCCACTTCGTGCCACGGCCGTGCAGTGGTCGGTGTGCAACTACTGTATACAAACAGTGGGGAAATCATCACGCAACCAAGCAGCAAAGGGAGTATAACGTATAACCCGGAAAACAAACAATGCGCAAATTTTAGCACTAAACCATCCTGCTTTTAGGTTACCCAACGACTTGACCCATACCCGTGTCCCCATAATCGCATTCTTGTTTTTTCAAGTCGCATGAAATCCATTAATGTTCGATGCTTAAACCAATCTTTTTGATGCCTAAATTTGGATGATATCTTTGTTCTAAATGGTTAAATGACTGTTATCATCTGTTCTCCAGCTCTTGCGCGTCCTTTTCTTTTTGAAATCCCTGTGGATCTCAGCAGCTACCCCCGGATCTTGCGGTCACCTCAGGACTTTCTTCGGCACTTTAGCTCCTTGACATCGAGGGGATGGGTCGGGCAACCTAAGACCATCGGTTGATAGGGGGAACATTTACTGGTTGGTGGTTTGGAACATTTGGATTATTTTTCCATTCAGTTGGGAACAATAATCCCAACTGACTTTCACTCCATCATTTTTCAGAGGGGTAGGTATACCACCAACCAGATTATGTTTTTTGTTGATTAATGGATTAATGGGATATTCATGGTATTTTATTGGAATTCATGGTATTAGTGTGGGACATTAACGGATTTGGGGATATAACATTCACACTCCTTTGATCAATCTGGGCAAATTATCACGACCTCACTGGGACCGAACCCTGGAATCATTGTTTATAAGAGGAATCATCCCAAAATGGCCGCAAGTTCAGGCTAGTGAATTATTATGATTTTCCCAGATCAATGGGATATTAGTATATATTAGTGGGATACTAATGGTAATTATTCTATTTGTTGGGATGTACAATCAAGAATCTGATTTGATATGAACAACAAGAAGTAGGGGATTTGGCCACCATCCGAAAAAGGGTTTCCATGACGACATATGGTAGTTGATGTTAGTTGTATATCCGATATTCCCATTAAAAAAAGAACCATTAACATCGATTACGTTCCATTAAAATCCATTAGTCGTTATAGTTATAATGAATAAATGCGCCATTTCCATAGCTATGAAGACTTATGAAGATCAGGGTGGGTAACTTGAGTACAACTTTGCTCTGGGGTTTGAGCACGGTTAGATGATTGTCACAAAACACTTTTCTGATATCATTTGGACTTTAGATATATTTTTCTTGGGGCTCCAGGAAAACCAGATCTTTTGAAAACAGTGAAGCTATGCTAAGCTATAAGATTGCTTTTTTGACTTCCAAAGGTATTGGTTCATCAAATATCCAAAGCCATCACAAATCCATACCAATCCCAACCCCTTCAATTCCCCTCAACAACACCAAACAACTCCCAGCTCCCAATTCAATGCACTCAGAATTTTGGTGGGTTCAAATATGTTTTCCATCCCTAAACATAGGCTGGTGATCCCCATTTTGATCGGTACTTCACATGATTTGACATCATTTCGTTAAACTTCCAAAATCTCCACCCCAACCCCCAAGCCCATCCGCAGTCGAGGTAAATTGCCTCCCTTCGTCACCCGCTGCCTCACTCTGCCGTGCACCAAGACGCAGCGCGCCGCGCTGCGGTGCGTCCTGAACCTGGCGCGCTGCCCAGCGTTGCGCGCCCAGCTCGGTCTGGCGCTGCCTCGGCTGCTGGAACTGCTAGAAGTGGAGGAGCTGCGAGGTGCGGCGGCTGGGGCCTTGTGCAACGTGGCATGTGAAGCAACGGCGCCTTGTTTGAAATCGTTTCGTGAAGCTCGCCGGAATTTCCGCATGTTGATGTTTTCTTGGTGCTTTTTTTTTGGGATGGGACGTGGTTTCTTGATGTTTGACGAGGAAGATGTTCTCTGGGTTTCACAGTTTTTTTGGTTTAGAATGACTTTTTTCATGGGCAGGTGACCACCAGAAAAGCATCGCTGATTTTTGGGGGTTCCCCAAGGTACGTCCAAAAGCCCGAGTGGCCGTGCCAGTGTTGCTCTCAGCGTTGCCAAGCGCGGGGAATGAGGTGCTCCAAAAATCTGAAGTGAAGCCCAATTTTCATCCAAATCATTGATCCATTTTAGCATTGAAACATGTTTAAACCCATGGTTTCTTGGGGGGTCCAGCATTTTTTCCGAAACCCCTGGTGAAGTTGTCACCGATTTCGGACAGCAAAAAAAACCTGGTGAAGTTCGATGATTCTCCCAGCGAAAACAAAAACACTTCCATGTTTGATCATGTTTGATGGGGATCTTTGGGGGTTCCCATTTTGGATCATCAGACAACACACCAAGGGAATTTTTGGACGAAACGAAAAACATTGGACCACTGAAGAATGGATCAAGGAATTCTCAGTTTGTCTGCGATTTTTTGGGGCCAAAAAAAAAGGAATTCCGCCCTCTCCGAGAATTTGGTGGTGAAGATGTGCTGTGAGCCAACCATGTTTCATGCCACGTCTTGAAATAAACAAATGGTTTCTTTACAGACTCAAAGAATTATACTTGCAGAATCTTGCATCAACGAATTGCCCTTAAAACAGGGTATTCTCCAGTGAACATATGGAAAACATGCGAACACCCATGGGTTTCCGGAGGCAGAGGATATGATTGCAGCCCTTGGTGTTCTGGCAAAAGATGCGGATGCCGCGACGATGGACACTATGGCACCTTTGTGGCACTTTTGATGTTCCCCCGCGCTGGTTCGCCTCTGAAGTCTCGGGATCCGATAGATCATGATGGCGGAGTGGATAGCCATATATGCCATATCTGGTTGGTGCTTTGGAAGAGTTTTTTTTTCCATTCAGTTGGGAGTGTCATAGTCCCAACTGACGAACTCACTCCATCATTTTTAAGAGGGGCAGGTATACCAGCAACCAGTCATAACATATCATAAGCCAATTGTGAAAGATCCGTGATCTCTAGTGGTGTATGGGATGTAATTGTTCTATAATGCATATGTAAAGCAATAGGATCCACCGTATCCACCATTATTTCAAATGGAGTTGTTTTTCTTTTACCATGTCTAATACATCAACAGGTTGATGCAACTATAAATGATACATATAAACCAACCATAGTTTATCATAAACCAACCATCCATATCCATATAAACTATAAATGGTTGGTTCATGATTGCTGCCGCTGCAGGTGGAGCCACTGCTGGCGTCTCTGCCGGACTTGACCATGCAATCGCAGCAATTTGGGCTGACGTTGGAGGCGTTCCGAAAAACAATGGTGGGGATGACGTGTTTTACCATGGGAACCATGGGGAAAAACATGGGAAAAACCATAGGTTTATGATGGTTTATGTTTATTTAAAGATGATTTAACCAAGCAAAAGTTCAAACGGAGGTGGCCGACGTCCGGTCTCTCGAGATTTTCACTAATTGTTTGTGGAGAAATGAGCCAAGAATTGAATGAGTATATATATAATACGGGAGATAGTTGGGCATGAATTATGACAAACATATATGCCAGGTTTATGTTTTCTTCAGCAACACATGAGAATTTACAAACAAACCATCGGACATGCATAGTTATTATTTACTGTAACCATTGCGTGTCGTTTTCCATGGGAGAACAAACATGGGAATGGGAATTTCACCAACCTTTTAAGACATGATTTGCTGCTGGACGTCAGCAACAGAGATGGTTACCTGGAACTCCTCATCTGCTCTGGGGATATCCACTTACCCAGATTCAATCTGAATACCATCTGGTAAACGTTTACAGTTTGCTATTGAAAATGGCCCAATCGAAATAGTGGATTTACCCATGAATAGCATGGTGATTTTCAACAGCAAACTGTTAGTTTACTAGGCCGGGTATCATTCATAGGTTTCTCCATAGCATGGGTCAATCTTGGTAGGCGAATTGGTGGGTCTCTACGGTGTAGAGTCGTTCCCCAGAACCACATGACTTTCAGATGTTTTCGATAAATAAAACCCATGTGGTGTCCTAAGTCATGGGGGTACCCCCCGTCATCCTGATTTTTTTCTTGGGATTTTCCCATGGACATAAACTATCCAGCTGTTGGGCCGACGAAATCCGGGACGTGAAAAATCCAGAGCTCCTGTTATGGTCCTGTTGGCCCTTGGTACAGTAGAACCAACTTGAGGAGTTTAGTGAGATTTTGCTATTTGTTGTGGAAACTTATTTTTTGTCTCAACCAAATGCAAGGGAACATTTGCAGGAAAACCTTCTAAGATCTTGCTTCAGATCAAACCTTTGAACATGATATTTTGAAGTATATTAAAGCAGGTAAAGCTGGCAACAAATCCATAAGATATGTCTGATCGGATATCAACTTAAATGGAACCGCCATGAACAGTTCCTGCACAAATCCATATCATAGATATGTATATAGCTTATAAAATTATAAATATGGCTACGAGTCAAAATGTAAAGCCCCGATCCATACCCTGAACCCACAGGCCGATCCATACCCCCGATCCATACCAAAACCCAAGTGATCCAGACCGATCCATACGTCTGGATCACCGCGGGCCGATCCATACCCGAATTTTGACGCAATTCCATATAAACATTTATAAACCACTGGTTGGTGGTTTCAAACATTTGGATTTTTACATCATATATTGGGAATAATAATCCCAACTGACTATTTTTTTTATATTTTTCAGAGGGGTAGGGCTCAACCACCAACCAGCCATAACTATGGACAATCACCATTTTCCATGGGAAAATCATGAGAAACCACGATAAACACCATTTTTAACACCATTCACCCATGATTTTCCCGCGCTGCGTAGGTGCTGAGCGATTTGGTGCGTGCCAGCGGACCCGGCAGCAGCGTGTCCTTGCAAGTGGCACAGGATGCCAGGTGCTGTCGATGTCATGGCTGATGTCAGCCGTAATTTCAATGTTTTTAGATGATGTTAAGATGATATACAGGTAGCATTTTGAGCTGTTTCCATTATGCGGTATATGATAATACATGTATATGAGTATATAACTATGTATGTATTTGTTTATTTATCATATTACTTTGTCATATCATGGAATCGTCATGATATTTCACCATTGATTCAAGGATGATATTAATGATATAATTTGATATCATGATTCGCATCATTTCCCATATGTTCATAGTATCATGGGAATTGTATTCAAAAACGAGAAAGTCAACATATGATCATTTCATGCCTTTTGTGTTTCATGGATTTTTTCCTTACGTTTGAGGCATTTTGAGGGAGAGCCCATGGTAGTAGTTCGATTCCAGAGATTTTTCGCAGGGGATGGGCTTTTCGTGGCCTAAATGCTGCCCTGAAAAGTGGCCCAGGGTTTGGGGGGAGGGGTTAAAAACAAATTTTTCCGGATCAAGAAAAAAAATTTCCGGATCAAAAACAAAAATCCGGATCAAAAAAAACACGATATAAAAACAATAGCAACTAGTAGGAGGGAAGGAAAGGAAAAGGAAAGAAAAGGAAAGGAAAGGAAGGGAAGGGGAGGAAGGGGAGGAAGGAAGGAAGGAAGGAAGGCAGGAAGGAAGGAAGGAAGGGAAGCAAGGAAGGAAGTTTTGTTGTGCAGAACAAGCACCCTGAAAACCATGTAAAATTATTGAAACCATGGAAAAACCAATAAGGTATTCATGTATAATTAAATGCATCCATGTAAGTATAGTCATTTAAATGTACATGTTGTATCCCTAAATGAACCCTAAACAAAACCTAAACGTAGCCTAAACCAACCCTAAAGAAACCTGCAACCAACCTTAAATAGACCCTCAACTAGCAGCAGACACCCCTGAATACCATATGTAACCTACAGCATTTCACGGGAGAACAGGTATAGTCATTCTGCTTTGGGGGGAGGCGCTGCGCCCTCCCCCCAATCCCCCCTCCCGCTTTGTTTTTTCTTAATCCAAGTTTGCACACTTGTAAACACACTACTGTACCCATATGTAAATATATTAATATATACCATAGTATATATATATGTATTATGTATGTATTCATTTAAATCTATTTAGGTTTACTTACACCTACGCAACTATA